GCCTGGCCAGCTGATCACCTGTTGGATATGGTAAGTTGTATTTTAACTAGTTTCAATACTATTACTTTCAAGGACTATCAAGGATTATAAAGCTCGATAAGGATAATAAGATATTATCAAGTCATGAAATAATCGGCCAAAAAGAAATGAAATAAAGTCAGAAGACCAATCATTTTGGTCGTTAACTAATCTTAAATACAAATTTAATTTATATCGGTGCCGCTAACGATTGTTTACCGTAGAAATGAAGAGTTTTATATACCGGTGGCCCTTGCATATTCCTCACCTCTTGTTCAGCATTCTTTGTGAACTAAAATTCGTATTTCAAGTTGATTTAACTATTGTCCAATTAAAAGTCATTGCAAAGTTTAGTCGGTTCAATTTCTTCTAAAGTTTCTTAATTTTCGTTTACAAAGATTTTGCACAAGAACGAGCAGAAACGTTCAGCGCTCCACGGGCAGCAATCCACGTCTTGTTTGTTTAAAATAACTAAAAGGCTCGCAACATATTTATTATATTTATTTCTTGTTACAAGAGCGAAAATTCTATGCGAGGTATATACGAATCACAATGGTATCTACAATCAACGAGTATGCAGAAAGACATGCTGATCATGTTGCTACGTCAGGCACCAGTGGGCATTAAGATCGTGTACATTATCCCAATTTTCTCACTAAGTTACTACTGCTCGGTATGAAATATTTCTTATGAATAATAAATGAAAATTACGAACCAGTACTATAAACGAATTTTCATATTTTTTTCAGTTCGTCTCGAACGTGTTATCTCTGTTCACCGTTTTACGAGCTACGATACAAAACGATGATATATAACGATGGAAGGTATATGGCTAATGATACTTAAAGTAGTATCCAATTATAATTGAATTGTTATGTTAATAAAGTAATAAAGAAGATGTCCGAAATACTACCGGAATAAGTTGACTTCTTCAGATCTCGTGTATTATTATGAAACGACGTTAGATAATATTGTTAACTAACTCCTTCTCAATTAGGAAACTGTTCTATTTAAAAACATACATTGAATTAACGATATTATGTTTCGGACACGGAGAAGCTTAGCGAATGAGAAAGAAACAAATATCGTGATCCCGAGATTTGACAAAGTTTTCTTTTTATACAACTTTTATTAACAAGTTTGTTCTCTTCTGTTCCTCGAAATTTTCTTTATTTACATAATTAAACTTGTCTCGCATGAAAGAGAAGGATATTGAATTACATGACGTAATAGTTAATACTTAATTTTTTGAATGAATTGTCTTACCTAAGAACAATACTTTTATTCCTTCTATGTATAGTTGAGCCGAACGGATGGCAGTTTATTTAGGATTTAGAAAGCGATGAATTGTTACTTCGAGCAACTTAGCAATGTTTTTTTCCAAAAGGAAAATAATGAATTGGAATAACAGACACTACATGCTGAAAAGGTGTGGAAAGACGTACGCGAACAAAGTGGTTAATGCTATGCAGTTTGTATCTCTGTTTACGGTGATACAAAGCGGTGTGGCGATTGTATTCTGCGGTATTAATTCCATTCAAGTAAGTAATTGCAGGAGTATTCTCACAATAACTGGACTTCAAACTTTTCATCAGCCCCAACCGTTCAGTAAGAAAGAAAATAATAAAATATGACTTACCAGGATGCAACATTTTGTGCTCTGTAACATATGGTAGACTTCCCATGCAGGTGTATAACGCCTATCGTGCTACCTTTCGAGACCCAGGATGATAATTATTCATCAGATCGAAGAAATCTATAAGGTATCATTACAGCCACATCAAGCATAACGTATCATTTTGTAATAGAAACAAACGATTACTGGTGTGTTCCTTCTAACATTTATTTTTCCTTTTCGAATGAACCATTGCGCGCATCATTCGAGTGGAAATCGTACTCGATAACAGTTAAGTGTATCCTCACAAATTGAATTATGTTGAAAAATATAACGCCGGAGAAAGCAATCGCGTTCACGCGATACAGCGTAGCATTGACATGCTGCTGGCCACTTTTCTCGCATGCAACCAGGTTTCAACTAATCCGCTTCCGGATATCCCGATCCGTGGTACTCCTCAACGCGTTCCTCCTCTTCCTGCCGTTAATATATTCTTTATACATCAACTACGTGCATAACGATCACGTTGGTTTCTCCAAATCCATATGCCTCTTCATAGCTGTTTCGCAGGTCCTCTTGAACACGTTCGTCTGTACCGTTCAACAGGATCGCTTTTGGGTAAGACTTCTCCCTGTTTTATCTATCAATGAGGCTAATTTAAAATAATTTAATTATAGGAGCTGATCGTAGAGATGAAAATGTGTTGCAACGAAGCAAAACCGTATGAAAGACAGGTTTATCAAACGTACGTTGATAAATATTCCACCTTCTATGCGGTGTCTGCGATATGGTTCTACCTGACAGCGTCTATCATAGTTATTGGAACGTTGTTTATTCCGCAGCCATTTCCAACGAACGCTGAATACCCGTTTCCCGTTGATTATCAACCCCTCAAGAGCATCCTATTCCTCCATCAATCGTTCCTTGTCTTTCAATGCTCCGCGCACGTGTGCATCAACATACTTTGTGCTTTGCTGATGTTGTTCGCCGCGGCTCGTTTCGAGATCTTGAAGATGGAACTGCGCGAAGTGAAGAGTTTCAACGAATTGGTCGATTGTGTGAAAAAGTATTACATTGCAAGAAGGTACGAAAAGAAGTATCGGTTATAATAGAGATTCTGGATAAAAATAATTGTTATTTTAGATATGCGAAGAAAGTGTCGAGTGCGTCTCGGTTTATAGCTTTGATTACGGTGATCATGTGCGGTACGGTGCTTGTGTTCTGCGGTGTTAATTTCATTGAAGCAAGTAGCGGCAATAGTAGTCTCAAAATGATTGGAATATAGTCATGACGAGATTTATTTTCACCAATAGCGACAGCCGTTCACTGTGATAATTCAATTTATGTCTTTGGCTGGGACTGGGCTGATCGAGGTTTTCATGGTCGCCTGGCCAGCTGATCATCTGTTGGATATGGTGAGTTATATTTTAACTCGTTTTCTTTCTCAACAGATTGTATAATGAAAAACAGAAAGCTTGTTGAAAAAATAAATCAAAGAACGTTATTGTGAACTAGGCCGTAAGAAAATCCTAAGAGATATCTAAGCGCGCTGAATTCAAACTTTATGATGTTCAAATCGAAAATTAGTCGAAACGAGCAGAAACGTTCAGCACACCACGGACAGCAATCCATGTCTTGTTCCCCTAAAATAAATAAAAGATCAGCAACATATTTATTATATTCATTTTTTATTACCAGAGCGAAAATTCTGTGCGAGGTATATATGAATCACGATGGTATCTACAATCAACGAGTATGCAGAAAAATATACTGATTATGTTGTTACCTCAGACACCAGTGGCCATTAAAATCCTGTATATTATCCCAACTTTGTCACTGAATTACTACTGTTCGGTATGAAATATTTCTTATGAATGATAAATGAAAATTACGAAACAGAACTATAAACGATTCTTCGTATTTTTTTCAGTTCGTCTCGAACGTGTTATCTCTGTTCACCGTTTTACGAGCTACGATACAAAACGATGATATATAACGATGGAAGGCATATGGCTAATGATACTTAAAGTAGTATCCAATTATAATTGAATTGTTATGTTAATAAAGTAATAAAGAAGATTTTTGACATACTACCGGAATAAGTTGACTTCTTCAGATCTGGTGTATTATTACGAAAGGACGTTAGATAATATCGTTAACGAGATTCTTCACAATTAGGAAATTATTCTGATTATAAACATACGTTGAATCGACGATATTATGTTTCGGATACGGAGAAGGTTAGCGAATGAAGAAGAAAGCACAGCAGCGATCGCGACAATTGACAAAGTTTTCTTATTATATAACTTTTATCAACACATTTGTTCTCTTCTGTTCCCCGAAGTTTCCTTTATTTACGCAATTGAACTTGTCTCGCCTGAAAGAGAAGAATTATCAATTACACGACATATTAGTAAATACTGAATTATTTGAATGAATTGTCTTACCTAAGAACAATAATTTTATTCCCACTATGCATAGTTGATCCGAACAGGTAACAGTTGCTTTAGAATTTAGAAAGTGGTGATTGTCATTTCCAGCAACTTAGCAACTTTTTTTCCAAAAGGAAAATAATGAATTGGAATAACAGACACTACAAGCTGAAAAGGTGTGGAAAGATGTACGCGAACAAAGTGGTTAATGCTATGCTGTTTGTAGCTCTGTTTGCGGTGATGCAGAGCGGCGTGGCGATCGTATTTTGCTGTATTACTTTGATTCAGGTAAGTAATTGCAATAGTATTTTTAAAATAAATGGACTTTAATTATGAGGATTTAGTTTCATCATCCCCAACCGTTCAGTAAGAAAGAAAATAATCGAATATACCTTACAAGGATGCAACATTTTGTGCTCTGTAACATGTGCTAGACTTCCCATGCAGGTGTGTAACGCCTATCGTGCTACCTTTCGAGCCCCAGGATCATAATTATTCATCAGATCGAAGAAATCGATAAGGTATCATTACATCGACAACAACTATAACGTATCATTTTGTAATAGAAACGAACGATTACCCGTGTGTTCCGTCTAACATTTACTTTCCTTTTTCAAATGAACCTTTGAGCGCATCATTCGAGTGGAAATCGTACTCGTGAACAGTTAAGTGTATCCTCACAAATTGAATTATGTTGAAAAATATAACGCCGGAGCAAGCAATCGCATTCACGCGATATAGCGTTGCATTGACATGCTGCTGGCCACTTTTCTCGCATGCAACAATGTTTCAACTGATCCGCTTCAGGATCTCTAGATCTGCGGTGCTCCTCAACGCGTTCCTTCTCTTCCTACCGTTAATATATTCTTTATACATCAACTACGTGTATAACGATCACGTTGGTTTCTCCAAATCCATATGCCTCTTCATAGCTGTTTCGCAGGTTCTCTTGAACACGTTCGTCTGTATCGTTCAACAGGACCGTTTTTGGGTAAGACACCTCCCAGTTTTATCTATCATAGAGGCTAATTTAAAATGATTTAATTATAGGAGCTGATCGTAGAGATGAAAAAGTGTTGCAAGGAAGCCAAGCCGTATGAACGACAGGTTTATCAAATGTACGTTGATAAGTACTCTATGTTCTATGGGGTGTCTGCGATATGGTTCTACCTCACAGCGTCCATCATAGCGATTGGAACGTTGTTCATTCCCCAGCCTTTACCAACGAACGCTGAATACCCGTTTCCCGTTGATTATCAACCCCTCAAGAGCATCCTATTCCTCCATCAATCGTTCCTTGGCTTTCAATGTTCCGCGCACGTGTGCATCAACATGTTTTGCGCTTTGCTGATGTTGTTCGCGGCGGCTCGTTTCGAGATCTTGAAGGTGGAACTGCGCGAAGTGAAGAGTTTCAACGAATTGGTCGATTGTGTGAAAAAGTATTACATTGCGAGAAGGTAGGAAAAGAAGCATCGGTTATAATAGAGATTTTGGATAAAAATATTTGTTATTTTAGATATGCGAAGAAAGTGTCGAGTGCTTCTCGGTTTATAGCTTTGATTACGGTGATCATGTGCGGCACGGTGCTTGTGTTCTGCGGTGTTAATTTCATTGAAGCAAGTAGCGGCAATAGTAGTCTCAAAATGATTGGAATATAGTCATGACGAGATTTATTTTCACCAATAGCGACAGCCGTCCACTGTGATAATTCAATTTATGTCTTTGGCTGGGACTGGGCTGATGGAAGTTTTCATGGTCGCCTGGCCAGCTGATCATCTGTTGGATTTGGTGAGTTGTATTTTAACTCGGTCAATATATTTGTTCCGTTGTCACGTTTTCTTTCTGAGCAGATTGTATGACCAAAAACAGAAAGCTCGTTGTAGAAATAAATTAAAGAACATTAATTCTGAACTAGGCCGTAAGAAAATCCGAAGAGATATCGAACCGCGCTGAATTCAAACTTTATGATGTTCATATCGAAAATTAGTCCTTTCAAAGAATATCAAGGATTGAAGAGTTGGATAATAAGACATTGCCAAGTCATGAAATACTCGGTTAAAGAGAAGTGAACTAAAGTCAAAAAACCAATCATTCTGATCGTTACGTAATCTTAAATATAAATTTAATTTACATTGGAGTCGATAACAATTGTTTACTTTAGAAATGAAGAGTTTCGTATACTACTGGCCTTTGTATAACCCTCGCCTTTTGTTCTGCCTTCTTTGTGAACCAAAATTCGGATTTCAATTAGTCAGTTTAATTTCTTCTAAAGTTTCTTAACTTTCGTTTACAATCATTTTGCACACAAACGAGCAGAAATGTTCAGCACTCCACGGGCAGCAATCGTCGTCTTGTTCCCCTGAAATAACTAAAAGATCAGGAATATATTTATTATATTCATTTGTTATTACCAGAGCGAAAATTCTATGCGAGGTATATACGAATCACGATGGTATCTACAATCAACGAGTATGCAGAAAAATATGTTGATTATGATGTTACCTCAGACACCAGTGCGCATTAAAATCCTGTACATTATCCCAACTTTGTCAATGAATTACTACTGCTCGGTATGAAATATTTCTTATGAATAATAAATGAAAATTACGAACCAGGTTTATAATCGAATTTTTTCATATTTTCAGTTCGTCTCAAACGTGATATCTCTATTCACTGTTTTACGAGCTACGATGCAAAAAGATGATATATAACAGTTGAAGGCATATGGCTATTGATATTTAAAGTAGTATTCAATTATAACTCAATTGTCTTGTTAATAAAGTAATAAAGAAGATTTTTGAAATACTACCGGAACAAGTTGACTTCCTTAAATCTCGTGTATTATTACGAAACGACGATAGATAATATTGTGAACGAGTTCCTTCTCAATTAAGAAACTGTTCTATTTAAAAACATACATTGAATTAACGATATTATGTTTCGGACACGGAGAAGCTTAGCGAATGAGAAAGAAACAAATATCGTGATCCCGAGATTTGACAAAGTTTTCTTTTTATACAACTTTTATTAACAAGTTTGTTCTCTTCTGTTCCTCGAAATTTTCTTTATTTACGTAATTAAACTTGTCTCGCCTGAAAGAGAAGGATATTGAATTACATGACGTAATAGTTAATACTTAATTTTTTGAATGAATTGTCTTACCTAAGAACAATACTTTTATTCCTTCTATGTATAGTTGAGCCGAACGGGTGGCAGTTTCTTTAAAATTTAGAAAGCGATGAAATGTCACTCCGAGCAACTGAGTAATGTCTTTTTCCAAAAGGAAAATAATGAGCTGGAATAACAAACACTACACGCTGAAAAGGTGTGGAAAGACGCACGCGAACAAAGTGGTTAATGCTATGCAGTTTGTAGCTCTGTTTACGGTGATGCAAAGCGGTGTGGCGATTGTATTTTGCGGTGTTACTTCGATTCAAGTAAGTAATTGCAGCAGTATTCTCAAAATAACTGGACTTCAATCGTGAGGATTTCTTTTCATCTGCTCCAACCGTTCAGTAAGAAAGAAAATAATAGAATATGCCTTACAAGAATGCAACATTTTGTGCTCTGTAACATGTGCTAGACTTCCCATGCAGGTGTGTAACGGCTATCGTGCTACCTTTCGAGCCCCAGGATCATAATTATTCATCAGATCGAAGAAATCTTAAAGGTATCATTACATCTACAACAACCATAACGTATCATTTGGTAATAGAAACGAACGATTACTCGTGTCTTCCTTATAACATTTATCTTCCCTTTTCGAATGAATCTTTGCGCGCATCATTCGAGAGGAAATCGCACTCGATAACAGTTAAGTGTATCCTTACAAATTGAATTATGTTGAAAAATATAACGCCGGAAAAAGCAATCGCGTTCACGCGATATAGCGTTGCATTGACATGCTGCTGGCCACTTTTCTCGCATGCAACCATGTTTCAACTGATCCGCTTCAGGATCTCTAGATCTGCGGTGCTCCTCAACGCGTTCCTTCTCTTCCTGCCGTTAACATATTCTTTATACATCAACTATAACGATCACGTTGGTTTCTCCAAAGCCATATGCCTCTTCCTAGCTGTTTCGCAGGTCCTCTTGAACACGTTCGTGTGTATCGTTCAACAGGATCGCTTTTGGGTAAGACTTCTCTCTCTTTTATCTATCATAGAGGTTAATTTAAAATGAATTAGGCTAATTAAAAATTACAGGAGCTGATCGTAGAGATGAAAAAGTGTTGCAACGAAGCAAAGACATATGAAAGACAGGTTTATCAAACGTACGTTCATAAATACTCCACGTTCTATGGGGCGTCTGCGATATGGTTCTACCTGACAGCATCCATCATAGCGATTGGAACGTTGTTCATTCCCCAGCCTTTTCCAACGAACGCTGAATACCCGTTTCCCGTTGATTATCAACCCCTCAAGAGCATCCTATTCCTCCATCAATGGTTCTTTCTCTATCAATGTTCCGCTCACGTGTGCATCAACATGCTTTGCGCTTTGCTGATGTTGTTCGCCGCGGCTCGTTTCGAGATCTTGAAGGTGGAACTGCGCGAGGTGAAGAGTTCTAACGAACTGATCGATTGTGTGAAAAAGTATTACATTGCGAGAAGGTACGAAAAGACGCATCGGTTAGGATAGAGATTGTGGATGAAACTAATTGTTATTTTAGATACGCGAAGAAAGTGTTGAGTGCTTCTCGGTTTATAGCTTTGAATACGGTGATGCTGTGCGGTACGGTGCTTGTGTTCTGCGGTGTTAATTTCATTGAAGCAAGTAGCGACAATAGTAGTCTCAAAATAATTCGAATATTGTCATGACAAGATTTATTTTCACCATTAGCGACAGCCGTCTACTGTGATAATTCAATTTATGTCTTTGGCTGGGACTGCGCTGATGGAGGTTTTCATGGTCGCCTGGCCAGCTGATCATCTATTGGATTTGGTGAGTTGTATTTTAACTCGTTTCAATATATTTGTTCCGTTCGCACGTTTTCTTTCTGGACAGATTGTATAATGAAAAACAGTAAGCTGGTTGTAAAAATAAATCAAAGAACGTTATTGTGAACTAGACCGTAATAAAATTTGAAGAGATCTCTAAGCGTGTTGAATTAAAACATTATGATGTTCAAATCGAAAATTATTACCATCAAGGATTATATAGCTCGATAAGCATAATAAGACATTGCCAAATCATGAGACACTTGGCCAAAAAGAGATGATCTATTGTGGGAAGACCAATCATTCTAGTCGTTAACTAAACTTAAATATGAATTTAGTTTACATTCGAATCGCTATCGATTGTTTACCTTTGAAATGAAGAATTTTATATATCGGTGGCCCTTGCATAATCCTGGCATTTTGTTCAGCATTCTTTGTGAACTAAAATTCGTTTAATTTCTTCTAAAGTTTCTTAACTTTCGTTTACAATAATTTTGCACACGAACGAGCAGAAGCGTTCAGCGCTCCACGGGCAACAATCCAAGTCTTGTTCCCTGAAAATAAGTGGAAGACCCACAACATATTTATTACATTCATTTGTTAATATTAGAGCGAAAATTCTATGCGAGGTATATACGAATCACGATGGTATCTACAATCAAAGAGTATGCAGAAAAACATGCTGATTATGTTGTTACCTCAGGCACCAGTGGGCATTAAAATCGTGTACATTATCCCAACTTTGTCACTGAGTTACTTCTGCTCGGTATGAAATATTTCTTATGAGTAATAAATGAAAATTACGAACCAGATTTATAAACGATTTTCTTCATATTTTCAGTTCGTCTCAAACGTGCTATCTCTGTTCACTGTTTTACGAGCTACGATACAGAAAGATGATATATAATGATTGAAGACATATGGCTAATGATATTTAAGTAGTATTTAATTATAATTCAATTTTCATGTTCTGTAATAAAGAAGATTTTCGAAATACTTCTGTAACAATTTAACTTATTCAGATCTTGTGCATTATTACGAAACGATGTTAGATAATATCGTTAACGAGCTTCATCTCAATTAGTAAATTATTCTAATTAAAAACATAGAGTTATTTCACTAACCGATAGAATGCAGCAGGAATGTTGAAACGGAACGAATATGCTGCTTCAGTAGAATAGAAATCACGTGCTCTCTACTGACTTCGAATCGACATATTGCACACTATTAACGTTTTGTTATTTCAAATAAATACTACATGTTTGCTTGGCGATCCGTCGGGATACTGAGAGTGGTAGCACTTTCCTTGCAGTCCGTGATAGGAGGTTTGATTTCATTTACGAATTCATTTACTAATTAACGGATAAGACAGGAAATGATACAATAGCAGCTAAAGCTGCACCGTATAAAAAATCCATACACTAGCTTTATAGCTTTTCACAGGCAACTAATACCCCCTGTAATTTCCGCTACAATTAGCGATCCACTACGCCACTACGTAAGGATAATCTCTTCACATGAAAAGTAATACCGCAGTCTATCACGATTCTGTGCGTGCAAAGTTTAATTCGTAATGAACGATTAATAGTTTCGAAGGATCGATATTAGTGAACCCGTTCCTTGAGTAAAAACTTTCATCAGTATGAAAGCTGTCTTCGTTCAGAACGATCAGCATATCTTGTCTCTAAAAGAGTATACATTAAAATGATCGCTAATCTACGCGAAATATTAGACGTAATAGAATTGGTTGGGACGATATTATGTACCTGGCCAATAGATCCAAACGCTAGTAAATGTAAAAGTATTTTACTTAATATCTATTGGATGTTTGCGGTGTTCAGCGTTGGATCGACGATACTATGCTTATTGATTACCACCTATTACTTTCGACACGACCTTATCTTGCTGACGAAAACCACTTGCTTCATAAGTGCCCTTTCGGAGACGCTGTTGGACCTGATCATCTGTAAAATGAGTAGCAAGAAACTGCAGGTTACGTTTATTAATGTTCATAAAAGAAACTATAGAAGGCAATCAAGGGATGAAGGGGAGAATGTGCATTTCTTTTCTCCTTTGTGCATTTCCATCGAAACAAAATTAATAACCTGCTGATTGTAAACTGCATTTAGGTTCTAATCGAAAAAGTTAGGAAGTATTTAGATACAACTGGCAAGGACGAGAATAACATGATCCAAGTTTACGTGAAACGTTATAAGACATTCTTTTCAACGATGGCGGTCGCATACTTCATCAATGGAGTTTCGTTCTTTTTCATGCCATTATATACAAACCAACATCTGCCATTAGAATCTTGGTTGCCATTCTCCACTGATACCGTCATGAAATACGGTATTGTTTACATTATCCAAGCTTATTCCTCCATGCATACGGCCCTCTCCATCTTTGTCGACTTCAAAATCATTTCCCTCCTTTGCTTCACCGCTGCCAGACTAGATATATTAAACGCGAAGCTGAAACAAGGAAACAGCTACGAGATGATGGTAAACTATATTAAAGAACACCAAGAGATACTAAGGTAAGGTAACACCGTTTCATGCATAGAAGCGTTTTAATAAATAACGACAGTGCGATGTTAGATTTTTAGAGGATACTAAAGCTGCTGTTCAGGCTTTGTTATTTAAGACAAACATCACAATGGGAAGCGTTGTTATAGCCGCAGCTTTTCCCCTGCTTTATGTGAGTTTAGTTTCTCTACATGAATTTTAGAATGTGATAGCAGAAGGACAACAATTTCATTCATAATATTAATTCATCTGTTCTAAAGAGATTTTTTTTTGTGATAAGATGAAAAACCCAATGTCAGAACCTCAAGTTGTGTATCAGTTCGTTTGTATGGTACTAGCAGGCTGTGGGCACGTGTACCTTATCTCCGCGCCATCAGACGATTTAAAAGAAAGTGTAAGTTTATTGGAAATACAGTAAAACCTCTATAAGTCGTCATTTTCCTTTCCTCGTCATTTTAAAATTTACATGGTTTTTACTCTGCTTAAGTCGTCACTCCGTTTAAGTCGTCAAAATTTCTCGGTCCCTTGAGTGACGACTTATCGAGGTTTTACTGTATATTATAATTAAACGTATGTTGATCGAATGTAGAGCTACATATTATCTGATTCTAGAGCATACAATTTGCAATGTCGGTGACCGATATTCAGTGGATAGGAAAACAAAAAAACATGGCCACCAGTGTATTGATCATGTTGCAGAGGAGTCAAAAACCATGTCTAATCCCATTGGGTTTGATTCCACCCCTTTCGATGGAATATTTCTCTCAAGTAAGTATTTTTATCTTAACTTTCACTGATATCAATTATGTAATTGATCTTTGTATAATATTGTAGTTCTTAACTACCATATATTCCTACTTTATGGCTATAAGGACGATGATTGAATCGTAATTTCTATGGTATGTATCAATCAAATTTTGTACGTTGCTGACAAAATGGGAATTAATTCATTAGACTTTGAATAGAAATTGAATAGCGTTGAATCTTCTTTTAGATTTACTGGATGATCAATTTCCTTCAGATAGTAGAAAACTTTGTCAAGTTGGAGCTTATTGTTTCAAGAAGATGCGAAAACTTTTACTGTTCACGACGCACTTACGTTTATCTCTTATCATTTATTAAAATTGTAACATTTTAAATGGTAAGGTTTAAATTACACCCTTAAATAAAATGAAATTAATTTCACTTGCAAAGGAGACACTTTCTTTGATTCATTACACCCTTTGCACTCCGTTGTCCTACACCTTGTAACCCTACCAATACCAAATGTACTCTAATTTCACCCTCTATAACAGTGCATTTTTCTAATTAAAATGATACGTTATGTTTCGGACACAGAGAAGGTTAGCGAATAAAAAAGAAAGAAAAGTTGCGATCGCGTCAATTGACAAAGTTTTCTTTTTGTATAACTTTTATCAACAAATTTGTTCTCTTTTCGCCTGAAAAGGAAGAATTTTGAATTACATCACGTATTAGTTAATACTTAATTTTTGAATGATTTGTCTTACCTAAGAACAATAATTTTATTCCTTTATGTATAATTGAGCCGAACGGGTGGCAGTTGCTTTAGAATTTAGAAAGTGATGAATTGTCACTTCGAGCGATCTAGCAACATTTTTTTTTTCCAAAAGGAAAATAATGAATTGGAATAATAGACACTTCCACGTAGATGATATTTCAGAATTTTTACCCGAATGCACTAATATTTGAAGGAATAATATTTCGGGTCTTTCCTGTGTCATTCGCGCATGTACGTGTATCGCGTCACTAACTGAATGTACGCTTAGCATTCGTTTCGAACTCCCTCGGCAAGATTTTAACACGATATTGAAAGCGATTCCACTCCGCCGCAGTCCACGATAGCCCGATTGATTTCATTTTCGAATGAGTAATTAATAGACCAATTACGCAACGCTGATTGCTGTTGAGGGACGGAAACAGGGTTAACCAGAGGTGCACCGTTTAAAAAATACATGCACCACCTTTCTAGCTTTACACGGGTAACTAGGCACTACCTGTAATTATCGCTATAATTATGGATGTGCTACGGCACTAAAGACGGATGATTTCTTCGCGTAAAGGGTAATACCGCAGTCTAAAACAATCCTCTGCGTGCAAAATTCAATTCATGACGAATAATTAATAGATTTGAAGGATTGATTTCCATTTGCCGTTCTTACGTGAAAACTTCCGTCAGTATGCAAACTGTCTTCGTTCAGAACGATCAGCATATCCTCTCTCCAGAAGAGTATACGTTAAAATGATTCGTAATCTTCGGGAAGTATTAAACATACTCGAACTAGCTGGGACGATATCATGTACGTGGCCATTAGATCCAAATACTAAAAGATGGAAAAAAGTTGCCTATAATATTCGTTGGACCTTTGCATTTATCGACATTGTGGTGGTGTCTATATTGCTGCTGATTAAGATGTATTACATTCGACACGACATTGTCGAGCTGACGAAAGCAATCAGTTTGCTAAGTGCCATTACGGATGGAACACTCAACCTGCTCTTCTGTAAATTGAACGCCTCGAAACTGCAGGTTACGTTTATTATAATCATGAGGGAAACTATAGATAGCAATCGAGGGACGAAGGGAAGAATGTTCATTCCCTTTCTCCCTTGTACCCTTCTATCGAGACAAAATTAACAATTTGGTGATTGAAAACTGGTTTTAGGTTCTGATCGCAAAAGTTAGACAGCATTTAGATAGAGCTAACGAGGACGAGAACAAACAAATCCAAGTTTACGTGGATCGGTACAAGGTAGTCCTTTCAGTGGTAGGGATGTCATACATCATCAATGGATCTTCATTCAATTTTCTGCCGTTTTATACGGATCAAGTGCTACCAATAGAATGTTGGTACCCGTTCAGCATTGAAACCCCCGCGTTGTACTGTGTTGCTTACGTTTTGGAAGCTTGCTGCGTCGTGCCAACAGCTCTCGCGATCTTTATCGACTACAAAGTCATGTCCCTCCTTTTCTACATCGCTGCCAGACTAAATGTATTAGGCGAGAAGTTGAAACAAGTAGACAACTACGAGCAGCTGGCAAACTGTATTGAAGAACACCAAGAGATACTTGGGTAAGGTAACACTGTATCATACATAGAAGCTTTTTAATACATAACGACGGTACGATGTTAGATTTTTAGAGGATACTCGACTTGCTGTTAAGGCTTTGTTATTCAAGGTGGTCGTCACAATGGGAGCCACCGTCATATCCGCAGGATTTCCCCTGCTTTATGTAAGTTTAGACTTCTTGATAAATTCTGCAGAAAATTTTACAGTGTAATAGTAGAAGAGCAGCAATATCATCCATGATATTAATTCATGAATTCTAAAAATCTGTTTCTGTGATAAGATGGACGACCCAATGTCAGACCTCCAAACTGTGTATTCGCTCGGTTCTTTCGTAGTAATAGGCTCTGGGCATGTGTACCTTCTTGCCGCGCCAGCAGAAGATTTAAAAGAAAGTGTAAGTTTGCTGATAATATAATTAAACGCATATTGCTGGAATATAGAGCTACATGATATCTGACTCTAGGGCTCACAATTTGCAACATCGGTGACCGAAATTCAGTGGATAGGACAATCAAAAGGATTTGGCACCAGTGTAGTGATCATGATGCAGAGAAGTCAAAAACCGTGCATAATCCCATTGGGTTTGATTCCAGGGCTTTCGATGGAATATTTCACACAAGTAAGCGCTTTTATCTTAACTTTTACAGATATCAATTGTGTTATTGGTCTTTGTATGATATTGTAGTTCTTAACTACCATATATTCCTACTTCATGGCTATGAGGACGATGATTGAGGCATAAGTTCCATGGTATGTATCAATCAAATTTTGTACGAGCCTGATAAAATGGTAATAAATTCATGAGATTTTCAATAGAAATTTAACGGTATTGAATCCTCGTTTGGATTTACTGGATGACCGATTTCCTTCAGATAGTAGAAAACTTTGCCAAGCTGGAGCTATTGTTACAAGAAGATGCGAAAACTTTCAGTGACCAACATACCTGTTCACGAGGTACTGACCTTTGTCCCTCATCATTTATTAACATAGCAACATTTTAAATGAAAACATTTAAATTATATTCTCAAATAAAATGAAATTAATTTCACTTGCAAAGAAGACACTGTTTCTTTGATTTATTAGTTCCACTTCCTGCACTACTCTGTCTTACACCTTTTATCCTACCAACACCAAATGTAATCTAATTGCACCGCCTATAATAGTGCTAAGAAAAGTTCAACAATTAGAAAATTGCAAAATATTAAATAACAAGGAAGAGATTTTTACTACCACACCATTTGGAAGAATTGTTCTGCAACGTTACCACCACAGATACAAGTACCTCCAGAGCGTTTACATGCTGTGGTGCTTTCTCGCCATGGCATTCCTCATAAGTAGTCGATAATACTCACCGAAGTGGTCCATATTTTTCCATCAATCGTCGAATGGCTTTCAGGTGACATCCGGTATGACCAGCGATATTCAGGAATTTCTTCTTTTGCGATTCGCAGTTGCCTTCGACACCTGCATACAGCACAGTCTCAATGCAGTATGCTACAGTTTCCCTACATCAGAATGCAAACACAATTTTTTACGAAATATCATTTTTAAAAATTGGAAGAATAGAGGTAGTTATTTACATAATAGTTTCTTAGTAAATATCCTACCTCCTTTCATTTAAGAATGATTTGTTGAAGAACAATCCTCGCATTGTACCACAATTCAACCTCTGATGAAAGAAAAACGTAGCAGTTAAAGCAACAATAACACAGTAATTTACTTATCACCAACAGCTAACATTGCAGAACAGAACAGCACTTGAAGAAAATACAAAGAGTAATACCGTAAACTGCATTGTAATCGCATCGTAATGAATGATTAATAAATTTGAAGGATCGATTTCCATGAGCCGTTGTTGCGCGAAAAACTTCAATCAGTATGGAAGCTGTCCGTACTCAGAACGATCAGTACATCCCGATTTTAAAAGGATATCCAACAAGATGATCCTGACTCTTCACAAAGTGTTCGATCTACTCGAATTAGCGGGAAAAGTGACGTGTACCTGGCCGGAAGATTCGAGCACCAGCAAGTGGACAAATGTTTTTCGTAATATTCGTTGGATCTTTGCGTTGATCAGTATGATCGTCTTATTGATATCCTTGGCGTTTGGAGTCTATGACCATCGAAGCAACTTTCTTCTCCTGATGAAAACCATGTCCGAGATGAGTGGAACCTCGGACGTGATTTTTGATCTGATCCTCTGCAAAATGAACAGCACCAAACTGCAGGTTATCATTGTCTAGTATATAAAAAATGTTAAAATTACATTATATATCTACATAACGTTTTGTTCAAGGCAGATTTTGATTCAAAGAATCAGGAAACATTTGGAGACGACAAGCGAGTACGAAAATCATGTTATACAAGGATACCTGGATCGTTACAAAGAATTTTACTCAGTGATCGTAGTAGCTTACATTGCAACTGGAATTTTCTTCACATTGGCGCCATTATTTTTGAGCCAAAATCTACCAGCGGATGGTTGGCTTCCATTCTCCACCGAGTCCTTTGGAATATATTGCATAGTTTACATCTTAGAAGTCTATTGCGTCTGGCAGGCAGCACTGATCTTCGTAATCAACATCACGATCGTTATCCTTTTCTGTTTCACCGCTGCCAGACTGGACATATTAGGCACGAAGTTGAAAGAGGTAACCTGCCGCGAGCTGCTGGTAAGCTGTGTGAAAGAACATCAAGAGATAATAGAGTAAGTTAACACTGTTTTCAAGCAGAGTTTTTTCAACTACTTTTGAAATTTCATTGAATTTTTAAATGGTAATGGCTGCTTTGTATTAGATTTTTGGGTGATATCGAAGACGCTGTTCAAGTTCTGCTATTTAAAATGAACGTCACGATTGGAGTTAGTGTCGTAACTGCAACTTTTCCCATGCTTTACGTAAGTTTAGCCGCCCCGAAAAATAATTATTATTGTGAATGGATATTTTTTCATACCATTTAGAATCAATCGTTGGCTGTAACGGGACAGTTTTTGAGCCTGCTTGTATCAGTCTGTGCACGAATGTACATTGTTTCCCGGTCGGCAGACGATTTGAAAGAAAGTGTGAGCCTGCAAATAATAGAACCATATTAGCTTCATTGAACACAAAACTGTACGATATCTGTTTCTAGAGTCTACGGTTCTCAATATCGATTAACAATATTCAATGGATAGGAAAGTCACGAAAAATGACAAACATCGTATTGATTATGATGCAGAGGAGTCAGAAACCATTTGAGGTTTCAACGGGTGGTTTCTTTCCAGCCCTTTCATTGGAGTATTACTCGCAGGTATGTACGTTTTATGTAAATTTCATTGAGATTAATATTAACGTACTAAAAATGACAATAATTATTGTTTACAATGATTGTGCAGTTTTTGACTACCATATCTTCCTATTTTATGACGATGAGAACCACTATAAAACCTTAATTCTCCACGACGTTACCACGACAGATACAAATACCTCCAGGGCGTTTACGTGTTGTGGTGCTTTCTCGCCATGGCGTTCCTCATAAGTAGTCTATAATAACCACAGCAAAAGTTTCCGACGCACGCGATATGTCCATTCCTGGTGAAACATCAGCCATTGAAGTGCTCCATATTTTACCATCAATTGTCGAATGGCTTTCAGGTGACATCCGGTATGACCAGCGATATTCAGGAGTCTCTTCTTTTGCGGTTCCCCGTTTGCCAGATTTAGGCTTCACGTGATGGAGATGCCTTACAGTTTGCCTAGATCAGAGTGCAAAGACAATTTTCTACGAAATATCATTTCTCAAAATTGTAAGAAGAGAGGCAATTATTTACATAATAGTTTTCTAGTAAATATCCTACCTCCTTTCATTTACGAATGATTTGTTAATGAACAGAACTCACGTTGTACCTCAGTTCAACCTCTGATAAAAGATAAGCGTAGCAATTAAAGTAATACAATAATACAGTAATTTACTTATCACCGACAGTTAACATTTCAGCACCGTACAGCAGTTGAAGAAAATACAGTAAACGGCATTGTAATCACATCGTAATGAATGATTAATAAATTTGAAGGATCGATTTCCATAGGCGGTTGTTGCGCGAAAAACTTCCACCAGTATGGAAGCTGTCTGCACTCAAAACGGTCAGTACATCAACATGATTCTGAATCTACGCAAAGTGTTCGATCTACTCGAATTGGCAGGAAGGTTGTCGTGTACCTGGCCGGACGATACGAGCACCAGCAAATGGGCAAATGTTTTTCGTAATGTTCGTTGGATCTTTACGTTGATCAGTATGATCGTCTTATTGATATCCTTAGCGTTGGGAGTGTATCACCATCGAAACAATTTTCTCTTCCTGATGAAAACCATGTCCGAGATCAGTGCAATAATCAACGTGATTTTTGATCTGATCCTCAGCAAACTACACAGCACCGAACTGCAGGTTATCATTGTCTAGTGTATAAAAAATATAAAATTATATCAAAAACCTACATGGGGTTATATTCAATACAGACTTTGATTCAAACAATCAGGAAGCATCTGGAAACGGCTAGCGAGTACGAAAATCATGTTATAGAACGCTACCTGGATCGTTACAAAGAATTTTACACGGCGCTCGTAGCAGCTTACATTGCAAGTGGAATTTTCTTCACAGTGGCGCCACTTTTCTTGAGCCAAAATCTACCAATGGATGGTTGGATTCCATTCTCCACCGAGTCCTTTGCAATATATTGCATTGTTTACTTCGTAGAATCTTACTGCATTTTGCAGGCAGCACTCATCTTCGTAATCAACGTAATGATTGTTATCCTTTTCTGTTTCATCGCTGCCAGGCTAGATATATTAGGCACCAAGTTGAATCAAGTAAACTGCCGCGAATTGCTGGTAATCTGTGTAAAAGAACATCAAGAGATAATAAAGTAAGTTAACACTGTTTCTTAGTACAGGCTTCTTAACTACTTTAGAAATTTCATTGAATATTTAAAAGGTAATGGTTGCTTTGTATTAGATTTTTTGATGATACCGAAGACGCTGTTCAAGGTCTGCTATTTAAAATGAATGTCCTGATTGGAATGAGTGTCATATCCGCAACTTTTCCCATGCTTTACGTAAGTTTAGCCTCCCCAATAAATTATTGTTATTGTGAATGGATAATTTTTGATATTATTTAGAATCAATCGTTGGCTGTAACGGGACAGTTTTTGTGCTTGCTTGTATCAGTCTGTGCACGAATGTACATCCTTTCCCGGGCGGCAGACGATTTGAGAGAAAGTGTAAGCATGCAAATAATAGAACTGCATTAGATTCATTGAACATAGAACTGTACGATATTTGTTTCTAGAGTATACGGTTCTCAGTATCGATCAACAATATTCAATGGATCGGAAAGTCACGAAAAATGACAAACATCGTATTGATTATGATGCAGAGGTGTCAGAAACCATTTCTGGTTTCAATGGGTGGTTTCTTTCCAGCCCTTTCATTGGAGTATTACTCGCAGGTAAGCATGTTTTTATCCGACTTCGAAAAGGAGGAGGATACTCAATTCGATATGTATGTATTTTACATATAGATGTCATTGACATTAATTTGTACGTACTGAAAATTACAATAACTATTGTTTACAATGATTCTGCAGTTTTTGACTACCATATCTTCCTATTTTATGGCGATGAGAACTACTATGAACTTTTAATTTTCCTGGTATGTATCGTGTCTAAAAATTACATATTTTCGTTATATTTGCAATAAAAACTGTACAACGTTAAATTTTCTTTTAGATTCTCTAGGTAACTAAACTTCTTGATTAATGAAAAATTTTAGTAAAACCGAGCCACCGTGTGCTTCAATAGAATGTGATAGCTTTCAATCTTGTTATCTCTGACTTGGACTTTCATTTCTTTCCTTGTGTTTGTTATGAAAATTTATTGCAATAATTGTATTATTTCTGTTGAACGTGGACAACGGCGTAAATAAAATATCAAGCCATTGATTATTGTATGATTGATCTTTCTAATATACACTCAAATGAATGAGAAATTATTTTTACCTGTAAAGGAAGTTGCAGTATATTTGTAACTTCTTTGGGAGTTATTCGTCGACATAACTGTTAAGGGTTGAAAACCGCTGTGGCTGAAGCAATGGTTAGACTGAACATTTTTTAACATTGCAATATTTTAAATGATAACGTTTAAATTATCCCCTCAAATAAATCAAAATTAATTTCACTTGCAAAGAAAACACTGTTCCTTTCATTCATTAGTTGCACCCTTTCCACTACATTATCTTACACCTTTTGCCCTACCAATACCAAATGTAATCTAATTTCACCCTCTATAGCAGTGCTAAGAGAAGGTCAACAATTAGAAAATTGCAAAATACCAAACGACAAGGAAGAGGGTGGTTTTAAGCTGATTATTCTGATATGATAGATTTTAACGTACTGACACACCAGTTGGAAGAATTGTTCTGCAACGTAACCACAAGAGATACAAACACCTGCACCGCGATTAAGAGTTGTTGTGCTTTCTCACCATGGTGTTCTTCATAAGTAGTCTATAATACTCACCGCAAACGTTTCCGACGCACGCGATATGTCCATTTCTGGTGAAACATCAGCCATTGAAGTGTTGCATATTTTACCATCAACTGTCGAATGGCTTTCAGGTGACATCCAGTATGACCAGCGATATTCAGGAATCTCTTCTTTTGCGGTTCCCCGTTTGCCAGATTTACGCTTCCCGTGATAGAGATGCCTTACAGTTTGCCTACATCAGAGTGCAAAGACGATTTTCTACGAAATATTATTTCTCAAAATTGGAAGAAGAGAGGCAGTTATTTACATAATTGCTTCCTAGTAAATATCCTACCTCCTTTCATTTACGAATGATTTGTTAATGAGCAGTACTCACGTTGTCCCTCAGTTCTACCTCTGATAAAGGATAAGCGTAGCAGTTAAAGTAATACAATAATACAGTAATTTACTTATCACCTACAGTTAAGATTTCAGCACAGTACAGCACTTAAAGAAAATACAGTAAACGGCATTGTAATTACATTGTAATGAATGATTAATAAATTTGAAGGATCGATTTCCATAGGCGGTTGTTGCGCGAAAAACTTCCATTAGTATGGGAGCGGTCCGCATTCGAAACGGTCAGTACATCAACATGATCCTGACTCTTCGCAAAGTGTTCGATCTACTCGAATTGGCAGGAAGGTTGTCGTGTACCTGGCCGGAAGATTCGAGCACCAGCAAATGGACAAATGTTTTTCGTAATGTTCGTTGGATCTTTACGTTGATCAGTATGATCGTCTTATTGATATCCTTAGCGTTGGGAGTGTATCACTACCGAAGCAATTTTCTCTTCATGATGAAAACCATGTCCGAGATCAGTGCATCAATGAACGTGATTTTTGACCTGATCCTCAGCAAGCTAAACAGCGCCCAACTGCAGGTTATCATTGTCTAGTGTATAAAAAATATAAAATTACATCAAAAACCTACATGGGGTTATATTTAATACAGACTTTGATTCAAAGAATCAGGAGGTATCTGGAAACGGCTAGCGAGTACGAAAATCAAGTTATAGAAAGCTACCTGGATCGTTACAAAGAATTTTACTCGGTGATCGTAGTAGCTTACCTTGCAACTGGAATTTTCTTCGCAGTGGCGCCATTATTCTTGAGCCAAAATCTACCAGCCGATGGTTGGATTCCATTCTCCACCGAGTCCTTTGCAATATATTGCATAGTTTACTGCGTAGAAGCTTATTGCATCTTGCAGGCAGCACTCATCTTCGTAATCAACGTAATGATTGTTATCCTTTTCTGTTTCATCGCTGCCAGGCTAGACATATTAGGCACCAAGTTGAATCAAGTAAACTGCCGCGAATTGCTGGTAATCTGTGTAAAAGAACATCAAGAGATAATAAAGTTAGTTAACACGGTTTTTTATTACAAGCTTCTTAACTACTTTAGAAATTTCATTGAATTTTTGAAAGGTAATAGTTGCTTTGTATTAGATTTTTTGATGATACCGAAGACGCTGTTCAAGGCCTGCTATTTAAAATGAATGTCACGATTGGAATCAGTGTCATATCCGCAACTTTTCCCATGCTTTACGTAAGTTTAGCCTCCCCCATAAATTATTGTTATTGTGAATGGATATTTTTTGATATTATTTAGAATCAATCGTTGGCTGTAACGGGACAGTTTTTGTGCTTGCTTGTATCGGTCTGTGCACGAATGTACATCGTTTCCCGGTCGGCAGACGATTTGAGAGAAAGTGTAAGCATGCAAATAATAGAACTGCATTAGATTCATTGAACATAGAACTGAACGATATCTGTTTCTAGAGTATACGGTTCTCCATATCGATTAACAATATTCAATGGATCGGAAAGTCACGAAAAATGACAAACATCGTATTGATTATGATGCAGAGGAGTCAGAAACCATTTCTGGTTTCAATGGGTGGTTTCTTTCCAGCCCTTTCATTGGAGTATTATTCGCAGGTAAGCATGTTTTTATCCGACTTCGAAAAGAAGGAGGTTAGTCAATTCGAAGTGTATGTATTTTTTATATAGATGTAATTGACATTAATTTGTACGTACTGAAAATTACAATAACTATTGTTTACAATGATTCTGTAGTTTTTGACTACCATATCTTCCTATTTTATGACGATGAGAACCACTATGAAACCTTAATTTTCCTGGTATGTATCGTGTCTAAAAATTCCATATTTTCGTTGTATTTGCAATAAAAATTGAACAACGTTAAATTTTCTTTTAGATTCTGTAGGTAACTAAACTTCTTGATTAATGAGAAATTTTTTTAAAACGGAGCCACCGTGTGCTTCAATAGAATGTGGTAGCTTTCAATCTTGTCACCTCTGACATGGATTTTCATTTATTTCTTTGTGTTTGTTATGAAAATTTATTACAATAATTGTATTATTTCTGTTGAACGTGGACAACGGCGTAAGTAAAATATCAAGTCATTGATTATTGTATAATGATTTTTCTAATATACACTCAAATAAATGTAATTAATTTTACCGGTAAAGGAAATTGCAGTACATTTGTAACTTGTTTGGGAGTTATTCGTCGACACAACTGTTAAGGGTTGAAAACCGCTGTGGCTGAACATTTATTAAGATCGCAACATTATAAATGATAACGTTTAAATTATATCCTCAAATAAAACAAAATTAATTTCACTTGCGAAGAAGACACTGTTCCTTTTATTCATTACTTGCACATTTTCCGCTACGTTATCTTACACCTTTTGCCCTACCAATACCAAATGTCATCTAATTTCACCCTCTATAACAGTGCTAAGAGAAGTTCAACAATTAGAAGATTGTAAAATATCAAACGACAGAAAAGAGGGTGCTTTTAAGCTGGTTACTCCGGCACGGTAGATTTTTACATACTGCTACACCCGTTGGAAGAATTATTCTGCAACGTTACCACAATAGATACAAACACCTGCACGGCATTTACATGCTGTGGTGCTTTCTCACCATGGTGTTCTTCATAAGTAGTCTATAATACTCAATGCAAACGTTTCCAACGCACGCGATATGTCCATTCCTGGTGAAACATCAGCCATTGAAGTGCTAGATATTTTACCATCAATTGTCGAATGGCTTTCAGGTGACATCCGGTATGACCAGCGATATTCAGGAATCTCTTCTTTTGCGATTCGCAGTTGCCTTCGACACCTGCATACACCACAGTCTCTATGCAGTATGCTACAGTTTCCCTACATCAGAGTGCAAACACAATTTTTTACAAAATATCTTTTTTTTAAATTGGAAGAATAGAGGTAGTTATTTACATAATAGTTTCTTAGTAAATATCCTACCTCCTTTTATTTACGAATGATTTGTTAACGAACAGTCCTCGCATTGTACCACAATTCAACCTCTGATGAAAGAAAAACATAGTAGACAAGCAATAATAATACAGTAATTTACTTATCACCAACAGCTAATATTGCAGAACAGAACAGCACTTGAAGGAAATGCAAAGGGTAATACCGTAAACTGCATTGTAATCGCATCACAATGTATGATTAATAAATTTGAAGGATCGATTTCCGTAGGCTGTTGTTACGAGAAAAACCTCCATCAGTATGGAAGTTGCCCGCACTCAAAACGGTCAGTACATCCCGATTCTAAAAGAACATCCAACAAGATGATCCTGACCGTTCACAAAGTGTTCGATCTACTGGAATTGGCGGGAAAGTTGACGTGTACCTGGCCGGAAGATTCAAACACCAGCAAATGGACAAATGTTTTACGTAATGTTCGTTGGATTTTTGCGTTGGCCAATATGATCGCCTTATTGATATCCTTAGCGTTGGGAGTCTATCACCATCGAAGCAATTTTCTCCTCCTGATGAAAATCATGTCCGAGACGAGTGCAACCCTAGACGTGATTTTTGATCTGATCCTCAGCAAAATGAACAGCACCCAACTACAGGTTATCATTGTCTAGTGTATAAAAATTATAAAATAACATTGAAAACCTACATGAGGTTATATTCAATACAGATTTTGATACAAAGAATCAGGAGGTATTTGGAGACCGCTAGCGAGTACGAGAATCATGTTATACAAAGCTACCTGGATCGTTACAAAGAATTTTACTCAGCGATCGTAGTAGGTTACATTATAACAGGAATATTCTTCACATCGATACCATTATTCTTAAGCCAAAATCTACCATTGGATGGTTGGATCCCATTCTCTACCGAGTCCTTTGGCATATTTTGCATAGTTTACTTCGTAGAAGCCTATTGCATCTGGCAGGGAGCACTCGTCTTCGTAATCAATATCACTGTCGTTATTCTTTTCTGTTTCACCGCTGCCAGACTGGATATATTAGGTACCAAGTTGAAACAGGTAACTTGCCGCGAACTGCTGGTAAGCTGTGTCAAAGAACATCAGGAGATAATAGAGTAAGTTAACACTGTTTTCTAGTAGAGCTTTTTTAATCACTTTAGAAATTTCATTGAATTTTTAAATTGTAATCGTTGCTTTGTATTAGATTTTTGGGTAATATCGAAGACGCTGTTCAAGCTTTGCTATTTAAAATGAATGTCATAATTGGACTCAGTGTCGTATCCGCAACTTTTCCGATGCTTTACGTAAGTTTAGCGTTCTCGATAAATTATTATTATTGTGAACGGATATTTTTTGATACCATTTAGAATCAATCGTTGGCTGTAATGGGACAGTTTTTGAGTCTGCTTATATCAGGCTGCGTACGAATGTATATTATTGCACAGTCGGCAGAAGATTTGAGAGAAAGTGTAAGCATGCAATTAATAGAACTGTATTGGATTCATTGAACATAGAACTGTACGATATCTGCTTCTAGAGTCAACGGTTCTCAATATCAGTTTACAATATTCAATGGACAGGAAAGTCACGGAAAATGACAAACATCGTATTGTTTATGATGCAGAGGAGTGGGAAACCATTTGAGGTTTCAATGGGTGGTTTCTTTCCAGCTCTTTCATTGGAGTATTATTCGCACGTAAGCACGTTTTATGTAAATTTGATTGAGATTAATTTTATCGTATCGAAAATTACAATAATTATTGTTTACAATCATTCTGCAGTTTTTGACTACCATATGTTCCTATTTTATGGCGATGAGAACCACTATAAATTCTTAATTTTCCCGGTATGTATCGTGTCTAAAAATGATGAAAAATTTGTTGTATTTACAATAAAAATTGAACAATATCAAATTTTCCTCTAGGTAACCAATAGAGATAGCTTTCAATCTGTTCAGCTAACATGGTCTTTCATTTCTTTCCATTTGTCCCTTCTGAAAATTTATTAAAATAGTTGCATTATTTCAGTTGAACGTGGAAAACGGCGTAAAATATCAGGTCATCATGTTGATTATTTTATGCTTCATCTCTCTGATATACATTCAAATAAATAAGAGAAATTATTTTTACCTGCAAAGAAAGCTGCAGTACATTTGTAGATTGTATTGCGTAACTTCTTCGGGGGTTGCACATCGACTCAACTGTTAAGGGTTGAAAACCGCCACGGCTGAAGCAATGATGTATAGAAGATAGGTAAACCTACCAATTAGCTTATTTCCGTAGGCAACTGTTTTCTATAATGTTCGCTGCATCTAACGCTGTACCGAGGAACACCCATAATCTCTTTGTATGAAGAATATTACCTATTGAAATTCAATTCTGTCACGGTGATTAATTAATCAATTCGATGGTTCGGTTTTCATCGTTCGTGCTCCCTCTAACACTTCCATTAGTATGGAAGCTGTCTTCGCTCTAGAACAGTACATAATAAAATGCTTGCGAATCTTCATCAAGTATTGTATCTCCTCGAATTAGCTGGTACCTTCACGTGTACCTGGTGAAATTCTATGCAAGATATACACGAATCAAGATCATTACCTGTTGCCATTCAAATCGTGTATATTTCAACTTTATCGCTGAATTACTACTGCTCAGTATGAAATATTTCTTGTGAATAATAAATGAAAATTACGAAACAGACTTATAAACGATTTTTCATGTTTCCAGTTCGAGTCGAACGTGACACTCTGTTCACTTTTTTAAGAGCTACGATAAAAAAAGATGATATATAACGATTGAAGGCATATGGCTAATGATATTTAAAGTAGTATTTAATTATAGTTCAATTTTCATATTATGTAATAAAGAAGATTTTCGAAATACTACCGTAACAAGTTGACTTATTCGGATCTCGTGCATTATTACGAAACGACGTTAGATAATGTCGTTAACGAGCTTCTTCTCAATTAGCATCGACCCCTTCACTGTGTAGAATCGAACGAAGGCCTTCGATATAATTTTCTGGACAGTCCGTCGGAAAATGTACCGCGCAAAGGGTCGCAGCATGTTGCTGAAATTTGTAAAAATAGGTTGTCTAATCTATGGACATTGGACGATGAATGGAGACGCTGCAAGATGGAAACGTTGGTCGCTCGAAATTTTGTACTGGATGCAATTCTCAAACGAACTGTACGGAATAGTAGCCATTGTTAATGGTTTCCTTTGTTGCTTCCATACTGTGAATCAGGTGGTCAAGTCTAGCGTGGATGTGACATTCATGATGGAGACGATGTTTAATTCGATGTACGTTCGGTGGAGAAGGAAAGAGTTTCGGGTTAATATAATCTGCATTTGATAGACATTTAACTAATATTCATCCACATGTTCGAAAAGAATGATGTGTAGTTATTGACCCTTTTCTTTGAAAAAGTAGAAAATATAATATAGTGTGTATCTTACAATAATAAAGTATAATTTTATTCGAAATTCTTTTTTTTCCTGAGTAAGGAAAAGCTGTTCCTGGGAGCAAAATGTCCTAAGTGGTTGAGAAATTAGTGTAGGGTGGAAGAAAATTCTTTTCGGATTTCTTCAAATAGTATTCGGGCTAAAATTGTGGCTGTCTCCATAGTCCGTCATTCGAGAGATAAAAATCACATTACATTATATTTCTTACTTTTTTAGGAAAATGATCCATTATTTCATAGGGATCAACAGGTGTATACGTTAGCCTATATTATTTGCAGCGTTTGGCGAACGAGATGGAAGAATTTTTCAGCACGACAAGTGCGGTGAATCTGAAACGAGCAGAAATAATTTGTTACATTCTGACGATCATTTTCTTCACTGGCAGCGTGCTTTTCGCGCTCGTGCCTTTGGTCACGAAGAAACAGATGACACCGCTAGATACAGTGTATTTCACGCTGCCAAGAGACAAGCAGTGGGGTCGAAGTTTCATTTACGCGCTGAACATGATGCAGATTATAAACGCTGGTTCGTCCCTTTTCCTCGATATGCTTACGATCTGGATCATGTGGCACGTTGCTTGTAAATTTAACCTATTGGCGATGGAATTCATGATTTTCGAGGAGAAGAAACTGAAATTTTGGATCAAGCGACACCAGGATGTTCTCAGGTACGCTGGCTCTCTACTCTGTAATCAATCGAGATTAATTCTGAACTTCCTCTTCTTTCACCAGCTACGTCAACGAAATCAATTCAATTATAGCTCCATTAGCTGTGAAATCAACATTTGCCGTGGGAATTGATATAATCGTCTCTGGCCTCGTAGCCACACACGTATGTGATACATAAATTAATATAATTAATTATTTCCTAATAACCGATTCATTTCAGAATCTGAATCTCGTAGAATCGACGAAATTCTTCACAGTAACCATATTTTCCTTGCTGAGGTTCGTTGCTTGCAGCTGGGTGGCTGATACGATAACCGAAAAGGTAGAAGTTGCTGTTCATAGAAATTCTCAAAACTTTTAGCGTAACCCTCCGTATCACTGGTTACAAAACATTACCAATTCTTCAAACAGGCTCGCAATATTGCTGAGAAGATTTATGACTCCCCGTGGATCTATACGAGTCCAAGAATGAGAAAAATGGCTCTACTAATTATGCAGAGGTCTCAGAAATCTGTGGCAATTCACGCGGGTGGAATTTTATCCGCTTGGACTTTAGAATTCTGCGGTCTGGTGGGTTGTTCGCATCTTTCTATAAAATAGTATACTATATTTTCATCTTTCCTTTGGTTCAACAGGTCCTATATACGATTGTTACCTATCTGATGACGTTGAGAGCTGTAATACGTGTATAAACATTCGAATAAACGAATTTTTCTACCTTAAAAAGATTGTTTTATTATTTAAGCTCTTATTATCGGCTACCTCTTATCTATAATATAACTTAACAACAAACTAATACTTTGAGATTGATATTTGATTTCTATAGTTTTGTCATTGAGGGATACGTGTTTCTTTAATTCCTATCGACGAAACGGAAACGAAGCGGTTTATTCGGTACGTTCACCATCATGAAGCTGCTTTTGATGTCGGCGTAGTCGTATTCGATTCTGAATTGACGTATAAGCTGTAAACGCGAGAAACATATAAAAATTTCACGACACGTAAGAAGGCGAGTAAATGTTACCTTTGCAGTGAGTAACATCATCTTTGCTTCGGCCATGTTTTTTCCCAAGCACGATCTTGCACCATAACCGAAGGGTAAGTAGCTGAAATCAGTGTCCTCTTTTTTAGAATTCAACCACCTTTCTGGTCGAAATTTCTCTGGGTCCTCAAAGTTTTCTTCCCTTTGAGAAGTGATCTGATTCGCCATTATGACGAAAGTCTATGAGAAATCATTTCATCATTTTCAAATATTCTATCTTCTATTTAAATTCTAAAACTCACCCCTTTGGGTATCGTGTAACCGTGCAACGAAATCGTTTTAGGTAGCAGCCTGGTGATATAGGGAACAGCTGGTCGCAATCTTGAAACAAATCATCGATGTTTCGTGATTTGTTTAAAAAATTTGATGTAACTGAAATACCTTAAGCTTTCCTGGAGACAAGCCTTCAAGTATGGCATATTTCTCACGGTTTTCTCGGTGAAGGGCGAATCACTGCTCGGTAAAACCGATACAATCTCGTCGTAGATTTTCCTCTGAGTTCGTGGATTCCTTGCTAAGTAATACAGTAGGAAAGCTTCGGAGTTTACTGTCTGAAAATGAGAAAATCCTAATGTCACCCAGGCTTATCAAAGTCTATCCTAATATTATTTATTTTCATGAAAATTTGCCCTGGTAACAAAATTAAACTTATTCTACCTTCTGCTATCTTTACAGCAATTGTTTCATCCAAAATTGTCGTAATTGATAAATCATTACCGCTTGTACACCCAAAATCATCATGTCCATCAGCAACGTGCACAGGTCGTCCGGACGGATACCCTCGTTCAAAAGGAACTTCTCCAAAACCGGTGAACCGCCTTCTACGTCCTGAGGGGATCGACTTCGAAGCTTGTTCTGAGCATGACGAACGTACTTTCCTATGACGCTGGGTTTGAAAAATATTTCTCAATATTGTTCCAACAATCTGTAAAAAACTTTGAATGATAACATACCCATCGAGCACGTCGCAGGCGTCGAAGAGCTTCCTGGCGAATGGAGTTAGGAAGAATCGCCAGACTTGAAAGCCAGTCTCGCAACGACTCATATATTTGTGAGCTACCATCATGGCATTGACGATCCTCGACGTCTCCGAGGTGGAGTTATATCCAGCTGATTCGAGAAAACCGAGATGCTTGTTAAATGTGAGATTGCAGAAACATTCCATGCCCCATCGAAGGAGATCCTCGTGGAACGTAGCGGGCACCTGAAAATATAAAATAGAAAAGTCAGCGTGGAAGTGGTATAATTTTTAAATACCTACTTCGTTTTGTCTGTTTCGTATTTTGTATATCCTGTTGATAAGTTCGTCGCAGATCGCGTCGATTCTGTCAAAGAAATTCGAGGCGATCTGTTCGAATTCCTGCTCCACCTTTTCTCTCAGTTCCAACCATTCCGAACCTTGTCTAAAAGCGATTTTAAATGAAAAATTATTCTAATGAAAATCATATTGATCGTCTACTAACAGAGAGAATGCACCAGCAAGACGATATTTTCGATAATTCAATCTGTAATGCTGCAAAATGTCGATACCGCTTCTAAGAGGGGTGTCGCCTTCTTGCTTGAACACTTCCGCTATGTGTTCTGGTCTGTGTAAAATAAAGAGAATAAATTTTTTCTATAAAACAGCATAGTTAATAATTCTTCTACCTATCCTACCTATGAATCATTACAATGTCTCCTGAAAGTGGTCCATTGATTCTCACGATGCAACCGTATTCATTGAATAAATATTTCAAAGGTGTGACGTTTCGATTCCACGATAGTCGTCCTGAAAATCATTCGTTTGAAATTCAATTAAATAATTTGTCTTTCTGCGTTTATCAATTCCCATTGTTTTTCTACTGTTTCTCGTATCGAAATTCGAAGAAGCGATACTTAAATTGGCATTGATTTAAAATTTCTCGGCGAACCGTCGCGGCGTTATTCCAGAAAAGGGCAGGGATCTATCGATACTTCAACAGATCGTACCCTGAGTGAATCTGTTGATTAGCAGACTGGAAAACAGTTGCGTACCGAACAGCGGCACGAATTTCCAATACTTCTCCCAGATCTTCAGCACCGCCGGTCCAGGAATCTCCTCAAAGGGTTGCGCCGATCGATCTCCGATGATCTGCGATTCGTTTTTCGAGGTGGTAATCTCGAACGTGGCCGTCGACACTTCTGCGGCCGATTGATCCAACAGTGGAATCGAATTCGTTCGGGTTAACGATTCGTTCATCACTGATGTTTGGGACTGTGTAATGGGCGCAGCTGAAAACAGAGAAATTAATAATATTAGTTGATTTCGTACCAAATGAGGGCGATAGTAATTATAACATTAATTTGAAATCCAAGCTTTAATGAAAACCATTCGTGATTATTAATTAGCAAACATCAAGTTTTCATTCTCTATTGCAAATTGATTAACTGAAACATTAAGTTGCAGAGCAGTTAATTTCAGGAAATATGCAACTGTCAAATCGTTCAGCTGTGGATCGATACTGCGAATGGTAATTAACGCGTCATCGTGTTTAATTGGTACTTACAGAGTATGTCAGAGGCGTTAAGATCCAAACACTTTTGGCTGTCGTTCGTTGCTAAAGGTTTCGACAGCTTCATCACGGAACATCGTCGAGAAATCGACGTAAATTTCGGTAACAGACGTTGCATTCTAAGACCTATCACTTTTATATCGATGAACGATCGATATATTTCGGTTTCTCGGATCAACTTTTGCGTCACGGACGAATAAATTCGTAGAATCTTTTGGATTTCGTGGAATTCTGCGAAAACTCGTACGACAAGAAATAACAAATTAGTTACCGTGATGAAGAAAAAAAAGAACGAAGCGACGTAACTTTGAACAACTTCACCCTGCAATTGCAATGATTATTAGATCACACTCGAAATATGTAATTAGAACGCTGCGATACGAGACAGAATGATATCATTTTTATATAAATTTTATTCAGAATACAAATCGATCGTAACTTAAAGCTAGGGGTAATTAATCTACATTGTTTATAATTCAAACGTCAACTTCGATCTCGATGTCTTCGTCGTCTGAAACAGTCTTTTCCGTGTTCGCGTTCTTCGCGCTCTCCTTTATTAATTTCCTAGACGATTCTTTTTGCGAATCCGGATTCGTTAGGGAAGAGCTCTCGCTTTCTTTCGTGTGCCGCCATTTCATTCGTCGATTTTGAAACCAAACCTTCACCTGGATACCATTTGTTTTTTAAACGCCATATTAATTATTATGAATTAGTAATCGTTGATGAAATTATACCTGCGCGTCTGTGAGACCTAAAGTGGCGGCTAACTGCCTCCTATCCGGTTTTGTGATATACTTTTGCAACGAAAATCTCCTTTCCAATCCTTTTCGTTGCAAAGAACTGAACACAGCCCTCGACCAGGATCTCTTTCTCCTGGTATTGGATTCTGATTGACTGGTGGGCGTTGATGCGGAGGAGATTGAAACTGTAAATTTTCGTTCAAATTATTTATTTAACACGTTGAATGCCGTGGAGGTCACTGGTGACCGGCGCCGCAAATTACACGTGCCTGAATAATTAAAAGAAAAAAAATAGAAACACATTACTTTAAATAAAATTGCTATTATATAAATAATGTAAAGTGGCAAATAGAAAGCTGGAAATTTGATATTTGAAAATGAATTATTCTTATTTTTAATAATTAGTTCTTCAATACGTGTTAATACTGAAAAATGCAAGATATAAAGTTTGAAATGAATCAGAGGTGACGCGAGTCAAGGGGTCGTTTCTGTAGTGGAAAAAAATCCAGGGGATTCGTCGCGATGTACACGATGCAGATCAGAAAATTATAGAAGGAGACGTGACACGATGTAAACGGTAGTCATAGCCGTGTGTGGGGTGGGTGTCTGTTTGAAAGGATCCTATCTTGAACAAGAGGCCCCCGAGATTGGGTACTTCTGGCTGATTTACAGCCCTACGGTAAGTATACAACATCTGTACGAATTTAAACAGTGTGGTTCTCTCTCCGGTTGGTACGATCCTTCGAATAAATTAGATGGCACAGCCAGTTAGTAAGGTCATAGTTATTTTCGGAGTTTTATGCCACCGTTTAGAAGTGCAACTTCTATTGATGAGTCTTTGGATATTGTTAGATTACTAAGAATTTTCTAAGCGATCCAATAAATTTTTTTATTTATTTCTGTAAAAATCTTTTGGAAGGAATACCTAAGCCACGATTGTTAACACTTTGCTAATTTTGTGGAATTTGTAGTGTCTATAAATTTATATTCAAAGCTCCTTTTTATATACAAAATGATACCAAAATAGGATCCACTTACAGGAAGGGTTTTTAGTTGTCCGCCTCCGATTGTTTGGATTTTTGAATATGTTTTAAAGGACCGAAAAATAAGGTATACGTATTTTTTTATTTTTGCCCATTTTCATATTTAGGAGGTGAGACGACCCCCTAAAGTTTCGGCTTCAATAGGCTATCTCGGAAACTATCATAGATAGAAGAAAACTTTCGAAGGAAAAGTTTTTTATGAACATATAACAGCTGGTCATAAATTTTGTAAAAGGTAATTTGTTTATGACAAAAAATTTGTTATTGCAATATTGATATGCAAAAAATTTACATCATAACAAAAAAGAACATAAATTTGTTTCTGAATCCATTGATATTTGCCTTTTACATTTTTGCATATTTTAAAATGAAATATGCATCGCGCACATACGCCGGGTCGCGGTCATACCAGATTTAGATGTACGGTTAATATCCATTACGATATCTAGCGATTATACTAGGCATTAATACAGTTATTTAAAGCTTACAATATTAATAAAAATTATATTAGTACATATTTACGTATTAATATATGATACAGATTGTATCTTACAAAAGCTTCAGATTATAAATTTATACTACATATGCATACCTAACATACACGTGAAATATAATTGCACCAATCATGTTACTAGAATCGGAAATTAATTTACATTTATTATATTCCTTACCATCTGTATCGCATATTAATACGTAGATATGTACTAATATAATTTTTATTAATATTGTAAGCTTTAAATAACTGTATTAATGCCTAGTATACATGGTAAACGCTAGATATTCTAATGGATATTAACCGTACATCTATATCTGGTATGACCGCAACCCGGCGTATGTGCACGATGCATATTTCATTTTAAAATATGCAAAAATGTAAAAGGCAAACAGCATATAATACATCAATGGATTCAAAAACAAATTTATGTTCTTTTTTGTTATGATGTAAATTTTTTGCATATCAATATTGCAATAACAAATTTATGACCAGCTGTTATATGTTCATAAAAAACCATGAAACTTTACCTTCGAAAGTTTTCTTCTATCTATGATAGTTTCCGAGATAGCCTATTGTAGCCAAAACTTTAGGGGGTCGTTTCACCCCCTAAATATGAAAATGGGCAAACATAAAAAAATACGTATACCTTATTTTTCAGTCCTTTAAAACATATTCAAAAATCCAAACAATCGGAGGCGGACACCTAAAAACCCTTCCTTATTAGTAAAAAATTAGTAGTAGGGTCCATTAATAAGAAATGTCTAATCATTATAGGTTCTTAAATTAACCCTTTCTCTGTAAAATCAACTTTTATTATTTAGTAAGTGGAGTTTAGTTCAAGATTCTAAACACAAAGATTATTTATTATCACTATTTCATATTTGAAGTAAAAAAAAAGATTAAAAAAGTCATAACATTAAATTAGAGCTGAGTTTACAGAGGAAGGGTTAAGATCTATGTTCATCATTCATTTTTTATTCTACTTAGTGTGTACCATAAGCTCTCTAAATTTATCATCCTGTATAACAGGAAATTATTAATAGAATTATGTTCAAGAGTTTCTTCTATCATATTTCTTTCTTTTTTGAAAGAAAAATTAGCGGTGCCTCGAAACGTTATCAATCATTAAGGACCTCGGTTCTCCTTATTTTTATTGATACTTCAAAACGCGTAAAGTAAAAGGATTCACGGGTAAAGTCAAGATTTCCGACTTTTAACTAACCAAGAAGGGGGACGACGAAAACCGCTGTTTACAACAGGCGTAAACGAACGGTGGCACTTAAGATGTCGTTTAAACACGGACAGGAAACACGAGAATACACTGGCGCGTAAATATTTTGCCCTACTTGCTAGCGAGTATTCGAGAGACAAGACAGCGGTCCATATGCTCGCATTTGTTAATGACGCAACTTTCCTTTCACGAGTCGATGCTCCCCGATGATTTCCACGAAACGCATCAGAATTTTAATAAATTTATCAAAAATGATCTTACCTCGTGGAACAGGCCGAAGCGGAGTAGGCCGATAAATGTTCGGATAATTTTCAACGATCCCACTTCCATGATTCCCGCTTCCGTAATTTCCATTGATCGCCGTTTGAGCGTAGGTAAACGTAGGACAGAGTCGAAGGGCTTCGCACCTGACGCAAGCACCGGGACAAGGGCACCGCAGCGTCGAGAACTGGACCGGAAGTGGCCTGAGTATATCTTGTCGAAGACACAACGTTGCTTGAAACTCGTTCGCATAAACGGAAGAAACGCGTAACGTCTGTCATCGTCGCTTAATTTCAACCGGATACCATTAAGAAAATGAAAATTGACTAAACGAAAACAACGGAAACGATCGTTACTTTAATCATCGAAGGAATCGTTTATTTTCAAAAGTCGAGTAGATGTTTGCGACTACAATAGATCGTCGTTTCCGGTCTCCTCACCTGTTCTCTTCGTGCTGAATTCATCCGACAATATACGTTCCACACCGAATTTTAACTGTTTGGAACAATTCGTGTCATCCACCATACGCGTGTTCACTTCGTTCATCTTCCTCACCGACTGCGATCACTTATTCCTCAAAACTTTGACATTTTCTAGCTGGCCGCGATGATTCACTCAACTAGTTTATTTCATCATTGAAAAACAAAAGGAACGAGAATTGACAAATCGATTTTAATTAATTCATAACGATCGCGAGAGTCTCAACGACGCTAGAGTTAAGGGCTGAATAATGAGCTTTGACGGAAGTGCATAGGAACGAGCAAGCTTACAAGTTTCTGCCATCTTCAGAACGGATTTTGGTTGGAAAAAAAAGAGAAAAAAAACGAGAAATATCGTGGGAGCTCGGTGCAATTTCGTCGATGGGATTGGCCCACACGGATGCTGTAGGCGTGGCTCACTGAAGATTGGTTCCTGAAGGATGATGATGACTCTAAATGTCAGCCTTTCGAATGGTCCGCGCTGCGTCGCTTAGAACATTCCTTCTTCTCGTTCCACCAGATAAACATTATAAAAAATGTCATAAAACGATGGGTAACGAAACGATTGGTCGATGATATCGGTTTAGGCGAAGATCATCGAGTCCGAACGAAACTGACGTAATTCTATTTGGGTAGAATTTATTGAATTTATTGGTATTCTTGGAAAGTGTGCCTCATCGAAGCTATATTTATATTCCTTAAAATAAAATATTCAGATATTTAAAAGACACTCAAATAATGATATGCTAATGACATTTTTTAAAAGGATACTTTAATTTTTTCTTTTAGAGGAAAACGAACAGATGAATTAAAAAGAAGAAAAATAGAAAAATGCTATCGATTCGTTTAAAAATACTATGCTAATGACACGGAAATTTTGGAATTTTTAGAATGGGATATTTAACTTTTTTTTTTTGAAGAGGAAAACGAACAGAATAAATTAAGAAGAAAAATAGAAAAATGTTACTGATGCTATAGATATCCGTGGAATAATAGCATAGAGACGTATGGCTGATGATATCTCTGGAAGCCATATGGTTATCTTTGCATGCAGACTTTCAGAGTATACAGTCACTTAGGTGTTTATTTGAACAGCCATGTTTGAAGCAGCCTCTACCCACATGCTAAGAATATTCTTCGGGATATGTACACACCGTGATCCTCTATTCGATTTTATTAGGTTTTAGGATTTTCAAGAGTCCGCCGAATCATGATAAGCGAATCCCTAATTGAGTGCCCGGATCGCGAAACCAGAACCCCTTTTTTTCTCGACATCTCTCAACACCTACAGCTTCTTCGTTCGATACGCACAAATCAGTCGATGAAAAATATATTAAACAGAGCTTCTTAAATATTAATTATACGCTGCATACGTTCGAGACAGCATGATCATCCCTCGATACAATTTTTCCATTTCGAACTCGTTCTCAGCTGGATCCAAAATTCTAACATTTCTCCTCGGACGATTGTAATTTTGTAAACCTTGTAGGTTCTAAAAGGAGAACAAAAAGATTGCACTTCTCTTTTCCAAATTTTTACAGAATTTATCAGGCATCTTACCGAGAGGACAATGACGTTTCCATTGCCATTGGTCCCTGAATTCTGTCGAATTGTCGTTATTATTAATGTAAGCAAATAACCACCGAATGCCAAAAAAGAAAGAGCAGTGACCGAAAGTTGAAATATCTTCGAGATCTTCGAATCCTTCCCCTTTTCGTCGTAATGATCTTCGTATCGCCTTATGGATTTTTTATTCATTCTTTTCAAGGGTTGTGCAACAGGCAGTGACACAGATAATGTTCTACTCGATGCTTCTTCTTCGTGTTCATCATCAGTGGTAAAATCTATACATTTTTATACTGATTTTTATCAATTATATAAGATGAACATCTTAACGTTACCTTCTTCATCGATGAGAGAAGATTTTATATGAATCAGTTCCGTCATTGGCAGTTCGCTCAGACTGCGAACCTCTTCTAGGTAGAAAGATGTACGATTCGCGGATATTGTTTTTAAATAAAATAACAGCAGTGCAGTGAAAATTCCGATGATAGGTGAAAAATTTCTGCAACGTTGTACATTTATATTAAAAAAAAAGAAATTAATATTTTTGAAGATTCTTACCTTTTCGTCATCTTCGATTACTATGACAGAACCGAGTTGTTTCTTATCCAAAAGAAGACTGGTTATCGTACCTGTTCTGTAACCAGCAGGACGTAATTGTCCCCTCAATCTCGAGTTCTAATTTCTCCTGCTTGGTTGACAAAGCGAGGAGAGTCTGAATCATTCTTCAGTCATCACGAACTAGGAAGAGGAACGTCGGGAATCAACGGGGTGGAAATGAGTAATTAACATCCGTTACCTCCGGAGTGCGTTCCTCAGTTCTCGAAACATTTCCATTGCGTCACCATGTCGAAATTTGTGTGCATATTTATCTGTGTCTCTTTTATGATAATTTCTGTCCCTGGTTCGTCAGAAGAAAAGGATGGTTAGTTAGAAAAATAATTCCAAGATAATTCATTAATAACGAAGGATAAATTTGCAGGCGTTCTTCGAAAGATAAAGGCAGGTTTGGAATATGCCACAAATTATTTGGAAACTGCTAAAGATATTGCTGATCTCGTGGCGAAGAGCTTAGGTCACAAGCAGCAACAGAAGCGGGGGGATGATAACGATGCGAAACAGAAGGGTAGTTTCGGGGCTTCTAATCTCGTGTCTGCCTTTTTCCGGCTTATTGGATTAGACTCGCAGAAAGTAACTGCGATTGCTGTAAACAGTGTCATATTCCTTGCGCAAATGGTACGTGGGAAAAAATTAAATAATGACAAATTAAAGTTCATTTGTATTAACTTCGACAGATAAGTTCATTATTCGAACTGAAGCCTGCAAAAGAGAACCTCGCCAGAGATTTGGATGACAATAATGACAATTTATCTTGGAATCCTGCTAATCTTATAACAGAAAGCAAAAACGATAAAGTAAGTTACAACAAATGGGAAGAAAAGGAAGATGAAACTCGATTAATTTTATTTTTAGATACAAAGATTGCTTCGGCAGGCTCAGGACGACGAGCTACCGAATCAGCTGATCGAAAAAGTCGACGGTGTCGACTCAGCCTGCATCAGATTGTTACTTTGCAAAACATCGCCAGTTATAAGGGCGGTGCAGAATTTTCTGAGGAATAAAACGCGTACCGAATCGCATCCAATGACTTCGTGGCTTCCCAGCAGGGATCGGTTCGAGGAAAACAGCGACGAATGTGAAAACACGCATACCGATTGCAGTTTATTTTCCTAGCCGTAGTTATCGAAGCGGTTCCAGGTTTATTTAACTTTATTCGCGGCGAAGTTGGTCGGAAAAAGAATAACGACGGATCACGAGGATTCGTTTTCTTTTTTTAGAAACGCTGAAGAATTAATCCGTTGAAACGCCGTGCAACGATTTACTCTTGCATGCATCTGTTTTATTTAATTATACGTATATCAGCATGTTTCACATTTTGATCATCAAAATAGTTCAATTAAATGGCTAAGGGTTGTAATCGTAACAATATAAGATCTAGATATATTAAACAGTCTTTGATAGGTTTAAGAAATTCATTGGTCTAAACGACATTGTGTTTATATACGGTGTCCCCAAAAGAAAGGACACTTAAATTATTCTTAAAGATTAATTTGATTCACGATTAAAATATCACAAATGAGTATTTTGGCTACAAAGATCGTTAAATCGAAATAAAATAAAATTTCTTCACCTCCTCGTACCGTATATTTTGATTTTATTTTTAGTAAAAACCCAGTCTGATATCCTTTCGTTTGTGGACACCCTGTACAAGGTAATTCATTGAAAAAATCACCACTAATCACTGTTTATTCTTTTCGCTAACAACTTGTTACTTTCACCCCTCTCTTCCTTTACCCGATGAAAAGAGAATTATCGTTGTTAATTTATATAGCATATATATATTTGCTTTTATACAAATATATATTATATTACAGAATATACACGGTATTCCAAAATTAATTTACCGAATATCTTGTGTACGTTTGTTTTAATAAATAGAAACAGTGAATATACAAATGTTCCAGTAAATTGAATTTACCAATAACCGTTGTATTTTTCCAACCACCTCCAAGATGAGCTAGTTCAATTTCTAAAAAATATTTTAAATATTCTTTCATGATTTTTCACCGGATAATTAAAAAAAGTTTCATTGAAATAGGCAAATGGATATCCTAAAATAATTTTTTTAAATTATTGCACTATGGACAAAGCACCTTTCAAACGATCATAAACTTAGATAATCAACGATTTAATTAATTTCTAAAATAATTAAGAAAGATGCTTGTACGATTCGCAAGGACGGCGCTAATGAAGGTACTCTACTATCTGAACTCATTCGCAGAGATAATTAAATGCCACGAAGAGACACTACGATTCCGAATAACAATTGAATGTTCTAATTACGTGCTCTTTTATCCATATACAAAATCATCTAAATTGGTTCGACTTAACGATTAGACGAACGCGTCGATTAATATCAGTACGATTGTTAAGCGAAACAAAGTTCGACGAGAAATAGCAACGATTCAGAGTAACAAGAAAATGGGAATCTTCTGAACAACAGTTACTTATAAAAACAAGGTTTCTCGTGAAATTAAGGAAACTTAACGTAGCCTCCCATCAGACGTTCAACACGTTGCTTGTCGTGATTAAAACAATCACATCTATAATATTTATTAACACACTGTAGGGCAAGGTTTGCGTTGTTTTTTCTTTAATTCATCCTCCTAACAATCAACATGTTCATTCTGACAAGGACTACATTCTAGAATCCTTGAACACTCTCTAATGCTATACATCTAATGAGATCAGGATTATTGCGAACTACGTGTTTCTCGGTGTTAATAAACGTCCCTAGAAATTAATTGCAACTGGTATTATGAGATAATTGGTCGTCTCTGAAAAGCCAGAAACGTTCTGCCTCCACCTTCCTGTTAACCCTCGAACGGGTTGTACAGTGACCCAAATCTACGAAACAGACGGTGCATTAATTAAAAATTATCTGGTCAAATTTCTAAACGAAATATTGTCATAAACGTAAAACTAACAAAAGTTGTCCGAAATTAAAATTATCGTTGATATTTCGATGAGCCACCGTCCGAGGATTGAAACGGGCCGATGAATATGAAAGTTTGGCATTCGAAAGACAATTTAGTCATTAAGGATTCCCAGACTTTGAGCTGCACATATTCACCCGGTACGTGGAATTTCGTTCGCGTATACATGTATATAGTGTACGTTAAATATTATACACATCCTCGTTGCACTCGCAGAAAAACCCGCCTCGAAAATATATATGTATAAAGGATCGACAGAAAGGAACGGAACTTGTGTCGAGGAAATTCTTATTTACAGGAGAGCCCGTATCGTTCATTACGTTTCACAATTATTGTTCTTCGATCGTTCGTAAACTTTCCACGTTAATTCACGAAAAGTCTTCTGTAACAGGTTGCCTTGTTAAAATTCCTTTCATTTTTTTTTTAAATAAGGCTGTTACGATATCAAGGAACGCCGATTTCTGCACACAGCTGGCTATTTGCAGTCTTTTTTTTATCTTCGAACAGACGAACTGAACTTGATAGGAACAAGCGGATACGAGGTTCAAAGTCGATCGAATGACTAGAGTGGATGATACACTGTTCGGAACATTTGAAACCGTTTCGACGACGAGGAGACTGACCGATCTTTCCGCGAATATCGAAGGAGACTAATCATTCCGATGAAGAAGATCGTGCAGGAAGCAACTGGAAACAAATCTTTACAGAGTCGCTTGACCTGGACTTATCAAATCGGTGTTCTCGGCGCAGGCTTGTCGCAACCAATCCCGAAGATTCCATGTTCTCTCCATTAAATTTGAGATGGGTTTGTCGACGGTCCCGACGCTGGTGGTGAAACCGCTGTTCGGACCGTACTGGGCGATGATGTTCTGTGTGGTGGTCGTCGGGGGTTGCGTGGCTGTTAACTGAGACAGGATGTTCGACTGGATATTCGGGGTACCAAACGTTCCTGAAGGAAAATTTTCCAGACCTGGAATCTTGTTATATTAAGCGAAATTCATTTTTCTCGTACCTTGTACGCTGTTTGATTGTGCTGCAAGGTGGTGGAAACGTAGCCATCGCAAATAAGAGTACATAAAAGTGGGCGGTGGTGAGGCGTTAGTGTCCAAACGTTTATTCAGCACGCCCCAGATTTCACGTATCTCGGAGTTTAGGCTTTCCAGGCTTGCGATTATTTCCGTCGACTCCTGGTAGTGATCCGGTTTGTCTGAATACGTCGGGATCGTGACAAAAGATCGAAAGAAAATTGTTAAGTGAAAGGAAACGAACGAAAGATACATTCTCCTTCAGCAACGATTCAAAGAAAAGCGAAACGATCGAAATGAAATAAATAAATAATAACATAGAAAATTAAATAACGAAGGGAAGGGAGGTGATGGAATAACGAGAGCAGCTCACCTATGAACGTGTCCGTTCCCAGATCGGTTGAACTGAATCCACTACTCGCGCTGGACATGTCGCTCAACGTTAATTCGTCGTTTCTCGTCGACGTGGCCTCGTTTTCGTTCCTCTTCGCGCTCGCCACTCTGTCCAAGGATTGTTCCAGGTGCCTCAGGTGGATCACCTTCTCACCTAAGAGGCTCCTGGTTCGATGCAGGCTCACCTCCATTTCCGAAAGTTCTCGTTCCTCCTGGAAAAAAATTTACAAAGAATCTAAGCGTCGAGTGAATAATCCGAGAAAGATGATACGGTGTACCTGGACTAATTGCTCGAGGGTCGCCCTGGCGCTACGTTGCTTCCAAGCCTTTTGACGTCCGTGGAATGCGTTTTCCTGGTGTCGAAGCGCCTCTCGAGCCCTCCTCACAGAATCCCTCTCGACGTGGATTCGGTGACGGAAGAACTCCAGCTCCGAAGAGGTGTTCGCCAGCGCTAGAAAATCGAGCAGATTCCTTTTCGGTGTCATCCGACACGCTCCCGCCAGGCTGCATGCTCGCGGTAGCGGCGTGCACGGAAAAGAAGTAACGGAAGGAAGAGAACGAAAGAAGAACGGTTTCGGAAGGAGAACCAAAAGATCTGCTGGTGGTGCGTTTACGAGCAGGCCGAGCAGAGAAGAAGCCGCTAACCAAAGTAAAGTCTATAGATGCCTAAGGAGAATAAATAAAAGAAAAAAGAATCTTTAACATGGAAAAATGAAAATAACGGAAAAGATCGAGAGATAGGAACGTTGGTATGTATTTCGCGCGCGTGATGACTTAATTGAAGCGATTAAGCTGTAGACGGTTGATTGTAAGTTGTGAAAGTGTGTTCGAGCTACGAAATAAGCCATACATAGGATGTTTCAGGTGTTTTTTTTTTCAGAAAATAGTTTAAAAAACTTCTAAATTAATTTACAAACCTGAGACACCCTGTATACATTCATCTTCAGAACAGCATTCTTACTGCTACAAATTAACACCTTACTGTTGGTTAATTATGCGAATAAGTTTCGCCAATTAGCAAAGTTAGAATTATAAAACACACCTGGCTATTTAATAAACAGATTTTCAATCCTTCACCAGCATACTGAGTTATTATTTTCATTCCTCCGAATTCACCTTCGAATTTATACTTTTATTGTAAGAAGGTTTAATGTGTTAACCCTTTGAACTTAATTAGTTTTCAAAGTTGTCGTGCATCTACTTGTATTTATTTTAAGTCAAATTAAGAAATCAATGTACAACAGTAAAATTTATAAAACAATTAGTATTTTCATCTCTAGCATGAGCTTAAAGGATTAAATTAAAAATTTTAATAAATATCAAGCCCAGTTTGCCAACGGTGGATTAAAAATGCATCATCATCAGGAAAGTGTTAATAAATCAAAAGATAATCAACTATTGAAATAGTCCGAATAATTTCCTTTAAAAAGATTCACCTTTGTCCTGGAAAGGATACCGCAAGGTATAGGCCGTTTCATTGCTGGGCAGCTGATCGCCAAGATCCTCCAGCTTCTCCAGTTGCTTCCTGATGTTCTCAACGGGATTCTCTAGATTGTTATTGTTATTGTTGCCGGCAGTGCTAGCTCTGGCGGTGCTGGTCGCTTTCTTGCTGAAGTTCTTCTTCTTCTTCATCAACATGTTCGCGTTCGTCTCGCTGGCGGTGGTCGTGTCGTCCGACTCGATTCGTACAGCGGCCGTTTTCGGGATCGCTGCTGCTCCGATCGCGGCACCCTTCTGAAACCCCGAATTCTGAACCTTCTGAACGCTCTGAACGTTCGATTCGTCCGGCTTGTGCTGTTCCTCGGTTTGCTCCTTCGCGATCGCTGTTTCCTGCGCTTTCGCGCTCGTCGTCGCCAGGCTTGGGCGCGTGTTCCTTAGCGGCGTACTGCGAGCACGATTTAAGGCCTATAGCCAGACATTAGGGCGAATCGCATGAACGTGAGCGAGTACCTTCACAGTTTACTTCGCGTTACGTGTCGACGTTCGAGACAGCCAAATGGGATTTCGATTTTTCTTTTGTCACAGAAGAATTAGTCGAGTGAGAGTATGTTAGAAAGGGTTTACACACGTAACTTTTGAAACAACCGTGTGGTCGGTTAGGGTATGTTAAGTAGCGCTGACTGTGAAGGTACTGGAGATGGTGACGAGGAAAATGGAGGTGCAGAAAACGAATATTAGTACGGTTAACACTAATCTGAGCAAAGGTACGTGGATAATGTTAAACGTTTCGAGAATCCTATTCGAAGCAATAAAAAGAAAAATTACTATAAAAGTTAGATGAGTACCCGGGCAGATGCATTGAATAACCATCCCTACACTCAGAGGCAAATAGTGTATGTAACTTGATCTGAACTGGAATACTTATGCAATAATAATTTTTTTTTATAATGAAACTTTTATTAATGTAATTGTGAGGTTCTTCTGATTAAAACAAGACCAAACAAGATATAATTTGAAGAGTATTTACTTATTACCCTGATAAGGATAACTTCAGATCTCATTTAGGTGTTAAATAGGTGAAAAAAAAATCATTCATTAAAGAAGCAAATATGCTTTAAATTATGTCGTGTTTGGTCTTATTTTAATCAGAAAAACCTCATAATTATGAAAAATAAAAAATTAAATTGAAAAATTCAAAATTAAATCGAATTAAAATATTCGAAATTAATTGTTTTATTGTTGAATTAGTATTGTCTCAGCAATATATTTTTCGCTCTTTATTCTTTTCAAAGCCTTGGCTCGAACCGTTTCTAAGAACCGAAAGAAACACCTTTGAGTACCGATCCAAATTCTACTGTACATATCAACGGATTCTCAAAACATTCAGCGTGACTGTAACACACAAACGGAACGCATGCTTCCGAATCGATTGTCAGAATCACGACACGTACAAGTACATCAGAGATCGATCCAAAACGCGTCAACCCTTTGCGATTCATTTCGTTTCTCTCGTTTCACACCGCTTCCATCTGTACGACGTTCCTACAAGCCGAAACGTGGAAAATAGCTTGATATCTCGATAAACGGCAAACGGTTGACCATATAAAACGAAAACGATCAGGTAAATAAAGAATGCCAGATTCGACTCACTTTTGTTCCGACGACTCGGTCTTGTCGGTTCTGGTCCTCGTGGACGTCGACCTCTCCGTCTCCGAAGCAGTAGTGTATCCCTCTTTCCTTCTGCTTCTCCTCTCGACAGCCAAACGTACCTCGTTCTTCAGCTTCATGTATTTCTCCTTCAGTGCCATGTATTTGTCCAGCAGCAATCGTTTCTCGCAACGCATCTTCTCGAACTCTATGCTGTCCTGCTGAAGAGCTCGCTCCGTTTGTTTCCTCGCCTCCTTTTCAGCATCGCGCGAGAAATCCGCGTGGATCTCTTCTAAACGCTGCTTGTACATCTTACGGGTGAGATCCTCCTGAAACCGCAACAGCAAATTCTTTTCAAGCATCCAGCGATGCTTTCATCGAGCAATATATTCAGGAAAAATGTCCCTTGGTTTCTTTCATCCTCCTCGAAGATGCTGTAAACGTCTCGGCGCTGGAAATCGAGCCGCTGGACACCTCCACTCGTGCAATTATCGCACAGTAATTATCGGAATCAGGATAATTATCGGAGTTCCCTCGGTATAAATTCACTGCTGCTTGATTGTGATGGTACGCATTGGCGTTTTATTGAATATAACTTTAAATATATAATCTTTCAAGGTACAACAGTTTCAGGATAGATCTTTCTTAAAGTTATCCTAAGGCGCTAAATATCTGGACGGTGTTACGCGATCGCACGACGCTAGGCTAACAAGCGAAATGATAAATTTCTTAATTTGGAAGAAATTCGGTTAATAACGTATATAATCTTAATTACGTTTAATCTGGTTCGAGATAACACGTTCAGGAAGGAAGGTCGCTAAAGTAACAGGCATCGTCAGGTACTCACGTCGATTCTAAAGTCACGAAGGATCTCAGCTAAACACTTCTCGTGATCTTCCGTGATCTTTGTGATCTTTTCCCTTTGCTGGATGCGCAGCTCGGTACGCAGATCATCGAACTCCTTCTCCAGCTCCTTCTTCAGGGCTTCGATCTTCTCGGAATGTTGCTTGGTCAGCTCGAATTCGTTCAACTTGGCGAGCTTCTCCTCGCCCAGATCCCTTTCGTGCTCGTTCTCCAATTTTCCCATCTCTTGGTTCCGCAATTCCAATAATTCTTTCCTTCTCTCATCGAGTTCGGTCTTCAAGTTCGCTAGAATCTCTTGTCTCTCCTTCTCGTAACACACTTCTAACTCGGCCTTCACTTTCTTCAGGTTCTCCAGCCTCGCTTTATCCATTTCGGCGATCAATTTCTGGATCTCCTGTTCCTCCTGAAACGCAATTAAAAGAATTAATTATCAGAATTTTTAGAGTGACCTTTATATTGAATCAATACCTTCTCAGCCATTTCTCTTTTCAACTCCTCCAGCCTTTCGCTCAGATTCTTTTGCAACTGCTGCTTCTGTTCCACGAAATTCTCTTCCAGTTCCTTCTTCGTCTGCTCCAATTTATCCTCAAACTCTTTCTTCAACATCTCTATGTCCCTCTGATGATCCTTGCTCAGTCCTGTTCTAGTTTCGTCCAAGTTCTTACTGTGCTCTTCTTTCATACGTTCCCTTCGCGATTGCTCCAGGTCCTGGTTCACTCTGGACAAGTCAGACGTGTCGTCGTCGTCGGTCTGTCTATCCTTCGAGAAACGTATAGCCGACTTTTTAGGCTTCACCGTCTTCGGCTTGCTCTTCCGGATGTCTTCCGAATCGCTGCTCTTCACCACGCTGCAATCAGTTTCGCTCCTCGATACCAGATCGATATTCTTTATTTTCATAAACTTGTTGCTGGGAACGTAATCCAAGCTGCTCTCCCTGGACAAACTGTCCCTCCGCAGATTCTCTTTGGCCATCTGAGTGCGATGCTCGTTTTCAGTGACGTTCTGAACGACGAAACGTTTGCCAACCACCTTCGAATTCCTCGGAGTTTCAGAAGAGGAACTCTTCCTGGTGTCCTCGTCCAGTTTGCTCTCGCTATCTTCTTTATTTTCATCGTCGAGACTCTGGGAACTGGATCGCTGGGAGAATAAAATGGACCCGGTAGCCTTGTTCGAGACCACCGCGGATATTCGCACGTTTTGTTCCTCCGATTCCGAGTCCCAGTCGTCCTCGGAGCCGGAATAAGTGAACTTTATGTCCACTTCCTTCTCTATGTCGAAGCGAACGCTCTTCCGTTCTTCGTCCACTGGCCTGTCGTCTGTTGGGAATCAAGGGAACTGGGTGAATACAAGGTTCGACTGAAAAGAATCGTTTCAAAGCAATTGATTGGATAACTTTAGAACTAATAATAAATAAAAATCTATCGTTTTCTACCTTTCATTCTATTTTAATACTGAACACTACTTTCTTACCATCCTCTGATTGCTTCTCCCTGAGGATCGACTTCAGTCTATCACCAACAATGTTACACCCTTCGTCAGAGATGGCAACGGTGCGGAAGTCATCCAGCTTGCCACCCTCCTGGCTGGGAGTGGTGTCCCTGCTCCTGTTGCTCTTCAGGAACATGGTTCCACCACCGCTCAGAGTCAGCTCCTTTTGTTGACTGAACTGACTAGGATGTTTCTCCTTGTCGAACTTCTCGGATCTTTCAGACCTAGCCAACGTGGTGATGCTTAATTTATCTATGTCTATGATGTTCTCCTCGGAGCTGAACTTGCTGGACAGCTGCTCCCAGTCTTTCTCGTGTCTTGGGCTCAAGGATTCCGATCTCTTCAGCACCTCTTTCAAGTCTAACTCCAGGGTGGGACTGGTGATCGTGGTGGTAGCCGCGGTTACTGTTGCTGCGATAGGAGCCATGGCTTCCAGGACCTTGGGACACTCGTAGAACTTTGGATCTTGGAACCTGTTGATGGTTCAGGATATTTTTAAACGAACATTCGTATAAAGACGCAGGGTTTATTCTTACAAACCTGAGGTTCGTGTAATCCCTGGAAGCTCTATCGGTGGCCAATGGATTCTCCGTCTTGGAATCACTGTCTCGTCTCGAGTGTTGTCTATCCTGGCTGGAGCTATCCTTCCTCCGCACCCCTTCGAGCTTATCTAATTTCTTCAAGGGTGCCAATTTCGTTGGGATTCTGGTGGTCGATGGGTTCATTTTGAAAGTGTGTTTTATGGTTTCCTTTGAAGAGGTCTCCTTTGGAAGGGTTGCCTCCTCGTGCGACTCGAGATCCTTGGCGGTGGTCTTCGAGTCTTCCTCTGTCGATAAAAAATGTATGATTTAAAAAAAAAATCAGGTCATATTTTTTGGGAGGAGCGAAGAAACAGACGCAAACTTTTCTTGGGAACGATCACCCTCCAGAGGGAAAAGGGTCGCCGACGGTGGAAGTCAACCGTTTTGTCATCTTCCTTTTTTATACGCAGCTGCGAGGAATGCCGAAGAAACGAATAAGAAAATATATTTAAAAACTTGAAAAATCACGGGCAGAGATTATTAATAATAACACTCAGGATTGTCGATCTTGAAACAAACTGTTCCTTTTCTTTCAAACGCTTTTCCCTATAATTCTTTCAGAAACATTTGCATAGCAAAGGCACGCGCCGTGTCCACTGGACAAAGTGAATAACGAAGTGTACACATACTGTTCCATAACAGAATTTTCTGTGTGAACACGTGTCTGCTTTGATCTCGCCGCCAAGTGATTGCAATATCACTTGACCCTTCTCCCTAAACGAACCCGTATCTCCTAGCCGTTTTTCTAACCATTTTCTTTCGCGATATCGCATCGCAGCGATCGCGAATCTCGTTTGCAACATCTCAAAGGCGAACAGCTCGAAAAGAGGAAGGTTTCCGCGTGAACAACTCTCCAGAGAATCGTCGGTGCCGGGAAATTTAAAAATAAAAAAAAGAAGAAAAATCTTGCTCTTTAGACCGGGTGTGCCTTTAATCTTCGCGGCTCGCGGAGTAGAAACAAGAATGCCAGGTGAGGAGGACGAGAAGCGGCAACAAATATTGACTTTTCACGCGGTCGCAATTTCGTCTGCCTTCCTGATGCGATTTTAAGCGAGGCTTTTAACCGGTCTGCTAAGTGACACTCTGTAATTCGACGATAATCACGCGAGTCAAAGAAGCTGCTTTCTTCTGGATTCCCTTCCGTTTGAAATCGCGACGGATATCTTTTTGAAATTAAGACAAAGCGACGGTCGATCGTTTCGTTTGAACAATAATTAATCCTACCCTTTTTTTTTTTCTTTTTTTAATTCGAATCGCGCCAGGAGCTTTCGTAGGATGTTCAAGATGAGAAGCATTCGAACAATCCGCGCTCGATGGACTTGGACGCGATAATTGGACGGATCCTACGTTCAAGCAACTATTACGTACTTTCACGAGCGAGTGCACCGACACGTGAGTGCCTTAACGAATGTGTCGCACCCCGACGAGCAGCTCGAAAGAGTTTCGAGGGCTCTTTGCCGAGCAACTGCGTCCGCCTATCCTATCGAACGAGAAATCGCGCCAACAAACCCGCTCGTCTGTGTAACTTTATTGCACTCGAACAGGGACGATCAGACAAGCGGTCTTTAACGCGTTCTCCAGTGAACAACAGTTAAGTACATCGATTGGACAGGTCTGGGATGAGTTTTCGGTGAACAGGGAGAAACCTGGAATTACGTAAAAAATTGACGTTAATAAATAAAAATAAAAAATTCCAAGCATCTTCCATTTCAAATGATAAATCAACCAATCTTCTTTGAGTATCGAGTGAACGTACTTGAAAATTTTGCATTTCCGCGATTGCAGCTGTTCAATAACAGCGCGAAGACGCAACAAACGAATAAGGTGATCAATCGAATAAATAAAAAAAAAAATGATTATTCAACGTACCACGATGAGACGGTTACGTGTACGCGCGTGCGATGGCCTCTTCAACACGAACCCGATGAACTTTGACAAACGGATCTCCGAATCGATTCAACGACCGTTTGCAAATGGATTATCGTTGTTTGTTACACGAATTATAGTCTCGTGAGCGATAAGATTACCGTTAGCCTCATCAATACACGTGCTTGAAAATAATTAACACAAAACCGAGCGTACGTTATATCGTTCGCTCTATCGCGTTGCACGCGCGCCATTTAAGAAACGTTACATAAAAGTTGGAGCACACGAGGAATTATTTTATGTGGCCGCCGGTCGGTGTTACGTAAAAACACAGAGAAAAGACGCGGATTCAATAAGCAAAGACGATGTTCCGTTGCCAATGATCCGCGGTCATTGGGAATGGAAACCGAAGCTGCGTGTAATTTCTGCAAACTCGATGCCTCAAGGTCAAGAGCAAAAGAATATTTACGTAATCGGTATGAATCATTGCGGATCGAACGAGAAGGAAAGATCGAATCGCGATCGAAAGTCGGCGAACAGACGGAGAAGAATATTCTCCTACGTAGATCGATGCTCGCCGCGAGACGGCGGGCAAAGTTTCATCTGGATTCATCCTAAAAATATAATTCACGTTTGACGGGAAGCCAGCTTCGAATTTCAGTGCCAAAGCAGTCCTTGAAGCTCGAATTTGAATACTTGGCGAAAATATACCAGCGAAATTTTGGCAAAATACGAAAGAACAGGTGTTAAGCACGTTCACTGTCAAAGTGAAGTTTTCTTAAAATTAACTTAACAACGATGTGCTAGCGTGGTTATCAGTTCGATAATTCCCTGATATCAGCCACGAATGACAAGCTAGCGAGCCTGTTAATAATTGTTATTATCAATAACAATGACGATTGGTTCACCTGTTCAGTGACGAGATCGCACTTTTTACGATCAAACGATAATTAAATAACATTCGATTTCTGAGGATAAGATTATCTTATCTTGTTTACCGTATCTCGTCTGTCGATAAGTATTCTTAAACGAGAAATAAGTGAAAGTTTGACTTTTCGAAAGCTGAAATGGTTAGTCAATCTTTCAGTGAATGATAATTGAACAGGGGTTGAGATTGCTCTTCGAAGGTTCGCGTGTTAACCCTTTGCACGAGACAAAAAGAAAAAAAAGAGTCATGCCACTTCTAGTTCACAATATGCATGTCATGGTTTATTTATACACAACTGGTCTACATTATACATGTACAGAACGCGAGACTGTGAATGTTTGTTACACAAGCTGTCGCATAATCACAGACGTCGAAGGGTATAAAAATATTTTGTTTTTTTACGTATACTCGAGATTGCAGTACAAGATCATCGTTTGTTCACCTTGATCAAGAATGAACACAAACATAACTAGATTAGTTTCAGACCTATCTACCTATCTATCTATCTATCTATCTATCATCAATCAAACGAGCAACGACTTATAAAAAGAAAAAGGTGAATACATTGTGTGAATCAGTCAGGAGGTGCTGAGTCTACCATAGAACAGCGTACACGCGATATCTTTCTGTAGAATTTACATAAAATTTGAATCTTGCAAACTGTATCAACGAAGTCTTCTGTTTGAATGATAAATGAAAAGTTGGACGTGCTTAAAGTGGAAGACGATAGGATTAGATATCTTGATTATTGAATAATGGTATCATCGAAAGCTTAGAAAAAATTGTGAAATAGAAGCTCTAAGGAATTTAGAAAATAAAATAACAACAGTTTGATAAATAATATAAGGGGTAGGAATGTCAGAAGGTTGGTACTGGACAAGTGGCATAGATATTTTAATCACCAAATAATAGTATCATCGAAAGCTTAGAAGAAATTGTGAAATAGAAGATCTAAGAAATTTAGAAAATAAAATAATGAAATAAATAATACTGTTACAGAACTTCTGCAGGAAATGATAAAAGAAATCATACGGGTACGAATGTCAGAGGGTTGGTAATGGACAGGTGGATTAAATATCTTCTAAAACTTAGAAGCAATTGTGAAATAGAAGCTCTAAGGAATCTAAAAAATATAATAATAACAATTTGATAAATAATACTGTTAGAGAAGAAAATAAAAAGAATCATAGGGGTTGAAATGTCAGAGGGTTGGCAGTGGACAAGTCACCCACGAAAAAGACTTGGACTCGATTTCCGGTACCGGAATTCCCTATTTATCACAGATCCCTGCATCGTCAGGGTTAATCAGGTTACTCTTACCCTAATGGTCTTACAATCCCTGTGATACTCGTAGTAGTACAATTAGATTTCTCTTTTCCCTAAATACCGTGTGTACGCTACAGACTGCAAGTCCAAGTGCAAAGGGTTAAATCCTATATTTTCCATTCGCCCGTAATGACGAGGCAATCCGTACCGACGCTCATTTGCCTGGTATTGCCAGCCCTGGCCTGTTTCACCAGCTGTTTGTAAACGGGGTCCAGGGGATGTTCCCAGGTGGTGGTTCCGGTGGAAGCCTGGTAATAGTACCAGCTTTCGCTCGCCTCGTGGTAGCATGGTTTCCAACCCTTCGGCAAGGCCGCCATGAGGCCCTCCCGGGCCAAGACCAAAAGGTGCGGTTCCGCATCGGGGTCGATTCCCAGGCGTCTCGCATAGTCGAGCACCTCTAAAAAAGAACCAGGTGCGCTCCATTAGCTGATTACCAACTGGACAAGGGCGATGGACTATGAACTCGTGGACAGAGTACGCGATGATATTAATTTAACTGGAAATACTTAATTAACGCTTCGCGAAATGCGTGAGAGGCGAATACGTGTAACACTTTGCGAAGCGTTAAGAAGGTCAAGGATGATCGTGGGCTTGTGAAAAGGGGCTAAAACGTTCCTGGAATTTAAATGAAAGCGTCCTTAAAAAAAAAAATACTTATATAAATTATAATAACCATTCAACGTTTCTGGGCTCTTTATCTTGATTTCGTATCAATTGTTGAATAAGTAACATTTAACTAGTCAAAGATAACATTACCTTTCTGCTACTGCATACGTGACAGAGGGAACATACTTATCTCCAAGAAATTTGACGTAATTATTGGCAAACAATGTTTAATTTAGTTTAATTATCGGTCTCCTCTGCTTCTACCGATCGTAAACGTCCCATGAAACTTGCAAACATTTGCCTCAATATTTTCAAGGATTCCAACTATCCGGTAATTGAATTTCTGAGAAGTTTGTTACGAAGTGTATCGGATAGCCGTGGTTGATCAAAGAAGCAGTTGGAACTTTTGTAACAAGTATTATTGGCCCGGGTGAGACGTGGGCGCTGATAAAGATAGAGGATCTTGTTGGTCGAGGGTCGAGGGTAGAATTTTTAACCTATCGGTTATTATAAATATTTTTCTGTTCGATAGGTAACGAAGAAAGTATTATTAAAATGCTCGTGGATTTCAAGGTTCTCGAGTTGGCCGTATGTAAAGTGTAACGATGCTAATCGATTATATAGGCCAGGTGGAAGTACACGTGGCAACGCGGAACTGTCGTCTCGGGACAAAAAGAAAGGGTCTTTAGCTAATATTTGCTGTTAACATCGAATATCGAGTAACCGTATCGAAGATAACGTGTTAGCCAAACTTTATCCAACTAATTGCTGGCAACTGTTAAACATTCATCAACCGCGATATTCATGACGCTGACGCGTCTAAATCTGGCACACACTACTCATCGCGGTTTAATTAATTTTTAAGTATCCCGATGCGAGGTGCAGTTTACAGGTGGCGATTCTAAAATTAAATCAAACAAAGTCTCCGATCTTGCCGCTTCGTTTAATCAGATACCTGATTTATTGCGTCACCGGGTATATATAACTCGTTACAAGAATGTCGTTCAATCGTTTAATTATAGAGCGTGGATATTAATTTCTCGCAGATTTTTGCAAAATTATTCTCTTCGATCTAACACACGGTTCGCATGTATTCTGCATAATTTCATGCATAATAAATGCAAAGACGTTTCTACTCTACGTACAGTCGATCAAAATTCTATTCAATATTAATTTCTCTATCCATGATAAATCCAATAACCTCTGTGGAATTGCCTTCGCTAAGGATGAAAATAATGCAACGACGACTAAGCATACGATTAACGCCAGAGTCTCGAGACAGTCTCGAAGCTTCTCCCGTTTTCTTTATGAAACATGGAAAATCCCGACGACAGCAGTCGGAAAAGAGGGTCGATTAAAAATTCCATCATGGAAGTCTTTGACAGGTGGCTCGGTGTATGGGGGTAACCGCCACAACATCTGTCTTCCCTGCGATGGATAAATTTCGTAGCTGTCCCAAAGGCTACCAGCTAAAATTTCCCAAGTATTTCCCAGATTTTCCGGCGAAGGCTGCCTATAAAATAAAGCTCGAAGGTGACTTTTAATTGACGAATGCATTTGCTGCAACGGAAGCTGGCCAGTGGTACGGATAGCAAAGGGGTGGTCCTCGAGGCTTATGACAAAACTTTCGCCGCACTGCGGATTCTATTGATTTTCCTCGCCGCGCTAGGGTACACGAGCTCACTGCTCCCGTACGACCCTGGTGTAAATAAACAAGGAAACATCACCGAAACTCTTTGACCTTCTCTGGTTTTATCCACGATTTTTCCAATTTAATCCCTTTCACCGTTAACTTTTCACCAATCCCATCTCCAGCCTCCCTACGCTTTTCTTCATCCTTCTTTTATCATTTTTTGATTTCAGATCAGCAACTGATACGACTCAGAAACTATTAATCATGTCAGAATAGGGAAGATACAAAAGACATCGAGAACCTTGGATATTGAACAGAAGGAACTTGAACTGACCCTGTTAGAACCAAGCAATTAGAGGAAACGTATCTGAACGAGTTCATTAGCAACGCGCAATTGAACAATTACAAGGACGGTATCGCGACTTTCGGTTCGCCTCGATGGACAGGACGAGTGTTCAATGAGCGACCGTGACCTCGAAATGGGCAAGTGTCGAAGAGCGAACTAGCCAGAGAAGAAAGGTAGGCGGAAGTGTCCGAACGAGGAGCGGCGGCGATGGAAAAGCCACCCTGTGCTACATCGATCGTGGGACGAGAAACGGGGAAAACGTTCGATGAACATTCGGTCTGATTCGTTTCTTCACGTACCTTCGTTCGACGGATGAGACGTCTCGTCGAAGACCTCCCTGCCCAAGATCGTGGCTGCGCTGTCCTGAGAAATACTCATGCTAGCGCGAACGAACAGCCGGGCCCCGGGGTGCAGGACGTTCACATAACTCGGGTAGGTAGGTCGCGCTCGGCCCAATGGCAACAACACACCTCGTTACGATCGGCCAGGTAAATGTCCGTCATTTTACGGTTGTTACAACGACGACGCGTGAACGCGATAATGTTTCAGCTGACGGCGAAGAGGAAGTAGAACGACGGCGAGACCCGTCCGACGACAGTCAACGTTGAATTCGACTTGAACGTAGGCGGTGGAAGAAGGAACGGACACGAAGAACGTGCAGCGCCCTCGGTAGCCTGACCCCGAACTAGGCTAATGATAAGGAAACGAGTGTAACAGCCGGCGGCAACTGTCTTATCGATTAATCGAAACTCAGCCGCGGCGTTCTCGTTTGACAGCCCGGGAAATACGGGAATCTTAAATCCTCGCCAGATCCGCGACCGGATCTGTTGAGAAACCATCGTCGTTGATCGATTTCATTTGGAGAGATTCGTTTTTAACTCCAGTTTCAAGCTGATAATATTGCAGCTTTTTTTAAATTTTGTGATTTTTATGA